CTGCACCAGGGGACCTGGTACCACTGACTGCACCAGGGGTCTCTGTACCACTGACTGCACCAGGGGTCTCTGTACCACTGACTGTGCAAAGGTCTCTGTACCACTGACTGCACCAGGGGACCTGGTACCACTGACTGCACCAGGGGACCTGGTACCACTGACTGCACCAGAGGCTGTGTACCACTGACTGCACCAGGGGACCTGGTACCACTGACTGCACCAGGGGTATCTGTACCACTGACTGCACCAGGGGCTGTGTACCACTGACTGCACCAGGGGTCTCTGTACCACTGACTGCACCAGGGGCTGTGTACCACTGACTGCGCCAGGGGCTGTGTACCACTGACTGCACCAGGGTCTGTGTACCACTGACTGCGCCAGGGGCTGTGTACCACTGACTGCACCAGGGGCTGTGTACCACTGACTGCACCAGGGATCTCTGTACCACTGACTGCACCAGGGGTCTCTGTACCACTGACTGCACCAGGGGCTGTGTACCACTGACTGCACCAGCACCAGGGGTCTCTGTACCACTGACTGTGCAAAGGTCTCCCACTGACTGTGCAAAGGTCTCCGTTCCACTGACTGCACCAGGGGACCTGGTACCACTGACTGCACCAGGGGACCTGGTACCACTGACTGCACCAGGGGTCTCTGTACCACTGACTGCACCAGGGATCTCTGTACCACTGACTGCACCAGAGGCTGTGTACCACTGACTGCACCAGGGGACCTGGTACCACTGACTGCACCAGGGGTATCTGTACCACTGACTGCACCAGGGGCTGTGTACCACTGACTGCACCAGGGGTCTCTGTACCACTGACTGCACCAGGGGCTGTGTACCACTGACTGCGCCAGGGGCTGCTTACCACTGACTGCGCCAGGGGCTGTGTACCACTGACTGCGCCAGGGGCTGTGTACCACTGACTGCGCCAGGGTCTGTGTACCACTGACTGCGCCAGGGGCTGTGTACCACTGACTGCACCAGGGGCTGTGTACCACTGACTGCACCAGGGATCTCTGTACCACTGACTGCACCAGGGGCTGTGTACCACTGACTGCACCAGCACCAGGGGTTGTGTACCACTGACTGCACCAGGGGTCTCTGTACCACTGACTGCACCAGGGGTCTCTGTACCACTGACTGCACCATGGGCTGTGTACCACTGACTGCGCCAGGGGCTGTGTACCACTGACTGCACCAGGGGTCTCTGTACCACTGACTGCACCAGGGGTCTCTGTACCACTGACTGCACCAGGGGCTGTGTACCACTGACAGCGCCAGGGTCTCTGTACCACTGACTGCACCAGGGGTCTCTGTACCACTGACTGCACCAGGGGTCTCTGTACCACTGACTGCACCAGGGGTCTCTGTACCACTGACTGCGCCAGGGGCTGTGTACCAGGGGCTGTATACCCTGACTGCAGGAGAAACCTGTCTATGGACTATTACGATCCACTCATTTAGGATCTTCTGAGTCAATTCTGTTACGTAGGAACTATTTTTAGCCAAGATTGGCTGTGAGACTTGAATAATTGGACTCCGCAGAAATGCATGTGGTCTCCTATAAGTCAACTTCCTTCAACTTATTTCTTAAGTCAGTATTGTTGTCTGTGACTTGAGCCAGTAGAATGAAGCCTGAGTTAGGAATACAATCTACAGACTCAAATGTGTTTTCTACAGACTTATGGTCCTAGTTTTGATATACACTGGCCAAACTTCCAATCTTGAATTATGTCCATGAATTCAATGGATGTTGTGTCAGAAATATGTATTCTTACAGAACTTGGATGTGTAAGTTTCACCATAAGCACCCAATTGCTTTCATTCTGTACTAGAATTATCTTCCTGTTTACCATATTTTTTAGCCATGCAGATAAGGATAGGCTTAGTTCAGTGAGATGATTACATTTCCAGTATAAAGAGATTATCCTTGAGCATGCATCTAGAAATACACCATTTAGCTCTCACACTGTCTGGGTATAACAAGTGTTCACTGCATATCTTGCCTTCTGTTTGTAATCTATGTGATTAATTTTATTCAGAAAACCACTCACTGTCAATCACAATAATTCTAGCAAAATTGCTTGTACTGATCAGCAGATGACACTAATTCACAGTTATTAACATCTTGTTTTATCAGATGCCTTGAACAAATCATACTTTCTACAGAATGGATTCAAATATCACACTTGCCATACTTGTAATAAGTCATATATCTTGTTGTTTGCCCATAAGATTACATTGTTTCTGAGATTGAAGTGGGAGTCAGCCTTAGATTGAAGTGAGAGTACCCCTTAGATTGAAGTGGGAGTACCCCTGAGAAAGCGCAGTGACTTGTTGCACTGGTTTTACTTAAATAATTGACTGCTGGAGAGTTCCAGCTACAGTTTCTTCCGATCATTTCATTACAGGGTTTGTTTTTGGTCGTAATAGTGGATATGTTTTTATGCCCCCGCCATATATGGCAGGGGCATATAGTGTTACTCTCGGCGTCCGTCCTTCTGTCCGTCCGTCCGTACAAAACAGGGAATGTATTCTATCCACTTCTCCACCATGACCGCTCTGTGGAATTCAATGAACTTATACATGGGCTTTCTTGGGACTCTAATGGTGTGCATCTCATATTTTGTTTTTTTAATTTTATTGGGTTTTTTGTAAGTTTAGAGACATTTGAACTTAGGTACATTTTGCTGAATTTCTCTATGATGATAGTGTAATAGGGGATGAAGTCTATCCACTTCTCCACAAAAACTGCTCAACAGAATTGAATGAACTTCTACATGTCTTTTGATGGGACTCTAAAGGTGTGCATTTCATAATTTTTTATGCAATTTCTTAATTTTGTCACTTTTACAGATGTTTGAACTTAGTTGAATCTCGTTCTATTCAGCCAGTGTTGGTTCCATCCAACAGGGGGTGTACGTTATCCACTTCTCCTCAAAAACTACTTTATCATTTAGATTACACATGTGCTTTGTAGGGAGTCTAAAGGCGTGCATCTCATATTTTGATTTGCATAAACTTGCATAAATTTTGTTGAATTTCTCTCTGAATATAGTGTTGTAGGGGGTGAAGTCTATCCACTTCTCCACAAAAGCTGCTCAACAGAATTGATTGAGCTTCTATGTGTGTTTCATTGGAACTCTAAAGGTGTGCATCTCATACCTTGTTAATCCAATTTCTTAATTTTGTCACTTTTACAGATGTTTGAACTTAGTTGAATTTTGTTCTATTCAGTCTGTTCGTTCCATCCAACAGGGGGTGTACGTTATCCACTTCTCCTCAAAAACTACTTTATGGAATTCATTTAGATTACACATGTGCTTTATAGGGACTCTAAAAGTGTGCATCTCATATTTTGAATTTGAATTTTATTTATTTTTCTAATTTTAATGCCGTTTAAACTTGCATAAATTTTGTTGAATTTCTCTCTGAATATAGTGTTAATGGGGATGAAGTCTGTCAACTTCTCCACAAAAGCTGCTCAACAGAATTGGCCTTCTATGTGTGTTTCATTGGGACTCTAAAGGTGTGCATCTCATACCTTGTTCATCCAGTTTCTTAATTTTGTCACTTCTACAGATGTTTGAACTTGAATTGGCTCTGTTCATCCAGTTCGTCTCATACAACAGGGGGTGTACTTTATCCACTTCTCCTCACAAAAAAACCACTACACAAAACTCATTTAGCTTACATATGTCTTTTATAGAGACTCTAAAGGTGTGCATCTCATATTTTGTTTTCGTATTTTATAATTTTTTGTATGTTTAGAGAATTTTGAACTTAGATAAATTTTCCTGAATTTCTCTCTGATGATAGTGAAATAGGAGATTAAGTCTATCCACTTCTCCACAAAAACTGCTAAACAGAATTGATTAAGCTTATACATGTGTTTCATTGAGACTCGAAAGGTGTGCATGTCATAGTTGCATAGATGTTTATTGAACTTGTTCGTGAATTTTGTTCAATTATTGATCTTTATATGTCTTATGAATGTCAGCGGGGGCATCCGTGTCCCTGGACACAATTTTTTCTTGTTAATGATGCACCAGTAGAGACATTAGAGACAGTAATCTTAGCCGCTGCCACACTTGTATGTTTTGTATATCAGGGATTTACAGGACATGAATTCCTGCGTCTTATACGCATAAAAATTAACAATGGACGCAACAAAAGTTTTTAGTGCATCCACAGGGACGCAGAAAAAGTCCAAATACTTTTTGTAAAAATTCTAATCAAGTAACAAAAGGTTATCACTGAGCTTGCTACTAGCTGGGTTAAGGTATCATTTGCAATTTAATTACTGTAACAATGCGATGATCATGATACACAATACAGTATTGAATAATATTAAAGTGTCTGGGACCCCATTTTGTTGTCCAGGCCCCCTGGAAATTAAGAGTGTGAGTCCCAGGGACCCTCAAATACAAGACTCCAGGTAAATCCCTGGTATTTTTCGAATTTTCAATCATTTTGATTTTAACTAAGTCGAGTTACAGTCCCTATGCAGGTAAACATTTTAGACCCTCCATAATGGAAGTGTTATGCTGGAAGTTACTCATGGTGTCTCTATGCCAAAGGCCATGATTGTATGTCATTGTGTCCCAGTTGTGTTGACTGATGCTCTTGATATCAATCACTGGATTGTCTGGTTGTTAAACAACTGCTATTAACATTATTGACCTCTGACTTCAAGTTATATCCCACATGAAACTAAGACATCTTGAAAGAACTAAATTGTATACTATTCATAAAACTCACTCACTCACTACATTCTTTGTTGTACAGTTGATTATAAGCTGAACATGAGTTGATCAACAGTACACACCGACAGAGTTGTACATAATGTCAGCTGTAGTTTGGTGCTTTACTGCTTCATGTTTTCCAGCCTTTTGATGAAGAACAACAGATTTCTTCAAGTGTTAGTTTATAAGATGAATGTAGTGATAGGGATGTTGCATTGTCTGTAATTGACATTGTCTGTTTGGTACAGGAAATCACATTCTGACTGATGACGACTTGTATGACTTCCGGAGTCAGCTGGCCGCAGCTGAGGGAGGGAAGCCAGTCAAGGTGAGTGTTGTTGAAACTGTGAGTGTGCTTTGACATAGTAAAGCTGTGTCCGACACGGTTACTGCTGGTTGTGGGTGTGTCCTGACATGGTTACTGCTAGCTGTGGGTGTGTGTGACATGGTTACTGCTATCTGTGGGTGTGTCCGACATGGCTACTGCTAGCTGTTGGTGTGTCCGACATGGTTACTGCTGGTTGTGGGTGTGTCCTGACATGGTTACTGCTATCTGTGGCTGTGTCCGACACTGTTACTGCTATCTGTGGTTGTGTCGGACATCGTTACTGCTATCTGTGGTTGTGTCCGACACGGTTACTGCTGGTTGTGGGTGTGTCCTGACATGGTTACTGCTATCTGTGGGTGTGTCGGACATGGTTACTGCTATCTGTGGTTGTGTCCGACACACTTACTGCTGGCTGTGGGTGTCCCCGACACGGTTACTGCTATCTGTGGTTGTGTCGGACATGGTTACTGCTATCTGTGGTTGTGTCCGACACGGTTACTGCTGGCTGTGGGTGTGTCCGACACGGTTACTGCTATCTGTGGTTGTGTCGGACATGGTTACTGCTATCTGTGGTTGTGTCCGACACGGTTACTGCTGGTTGTGGGTGTGTCCTGACATGGTTACTGCTAGCGTAGGGTGTGGTGTGACATGGTTACTGCTGGTTGTGGGTGTGTCCTGACATGGTTACTGTTATCTGTGGGTGTGTCTGACATGGCTACTGCTATCTGTGGGTGTGTCCTGACATGGTTACTGCTGGTTGTGGGTGTGTCCTGACATGGTTACTGCTAGCGGTGGGTGTGGTCTGACATGGTTACTGCTGGTTGTGGGTGTGTCCTGACATGGTTACTGCTATCTGAGGGTGTGTCCTGACATGGTTACTGCTGGTTGTGGGTGTGTCCTGACATGGTTACTGCTAGCGGTGGGTGTGGTCTGACATGGTTACTGCTGGTTGTGGGTGTGTCCTGACATGGTTACTGCTATCTATGGGTGTGTCCTGACATGGTTACTGCTGGTTGTGGGTGTGTCCTGACATGGTTACTGCTAGCGGTGGGTGTGGTCTGACATGGTTACTGCTGGTTGTGGGTGTGTCCTGACATGGTTACTGCTATCTATGGGTGTGTCCTGACATGGTTACTGCTATCTGTGGGTGTGTCCTGACATGGTTACTGCTGGTTGTGGGTGTGTCCTGACATGGTTACTGCTATCTGTGGGTGTGTCCTGACATGGTTACTGCTATCTGTGGGTGTGTCCTGACATGGTTACTGCTGGTTGTGGGTGTGTCCTGACATGGTTACTGCTGGTTGTGGGTGTGTCCTGACATGGTTACTGCTGGTTGTGGGTGTGTCCTGACATGGTTACTGCTGGTTGTGGGTGTGTCCTGACATGGTTACTGCTAGCGGTGGGTGTGGTCTGACATGGTTACTGCTGGTTGTGGGTGTGTCCTGACATGGTTACTGCTATCTGAGGGTGTGTCCTGACATGGTTACTGCTGGTTGTGGGTGTGTCCTGACATGGTTACTGCTAGCGGTGGGTGTGGTCTGACATGGTTACTGCTGGTTGTGGGTGTGTCCTGACATGGTTACTGCTATCTGTGGGTGTGTCCTGACATGGTTACTGCTGGTTGTGGGTGTGTCCTGACATGGTTACTGCTATCTGTGGGTGTGTCCTGACATGGTTACTGCTATCTGTGGGTGTGTCCTGACATGGTTACTGCTATCTGTGGGTGTGTCCTGACATGGTTACTGCTGGTTGTGGGTGTGTCCTGACATGGTTACTGCTATCTGTGGGTGTGTCCTGACATGGTTACTGCTGGTTGTGGGTGTGTCCTGACATGGTTACTGCTGGTTGTGGGTGTGTCCTGACATGGTTACTGCTGGTTGTGGGTGTGTCCTGACATGGTTACTGCTAGCGGTGGGTGTGGTCTGACATGGTTACTGCTGGTTGTGGGTGTGTCCTGACATGGTTACTGCTATCTATGGGTGTGTCCTGACATGGTTACTGCTATCTGTGGGTGTGTCCTGACATGGTTACTGCTGGTTATTGGGTGTGTCCTGACATGGTTACTGCTATCTGTGGGTGTGTCCTGACATGGTTACTGCTATCTGTGGGTGTGTCCTGACATGGTTACTGCTGGTTGTGGGTGTGTCCTGACATGGTTACTGCTGGTTGTGGGTGTGTCCTGACATGGTTACTGCTGGTTGTGGGTGTGTCCTGACATGGTTACTGCTGGTTGTGGGTGTGTCCTGACATGGTTACTGCTAGCGGTGGGTGTGGTCTGACATGGTTACTGCTGGTTGTGGGTGTGTCCTGACATGGTTACTGCTATCTGAGGGTGTGTCCTGACATGGTTACTGCTGGTTGTGGGTGTGTCCTGACATGGTTACTGCTAGCGGTGGGTGTGGTCTGACATGGTTACTGCTGGTTGTGGGTGTGTCCTGACATGGTTACTGCTATCTGTGGGTGTGTCCTGACATGGTTACTGCTGGTTGTGGGTGTGTCCTGACATGGTTACTGCTATCTGTGGGTGTGTCCTGACATGGTTACTGCTATCTGTGGGTGTGTCCTGACATGGTTACTGCTATCTGTGGGTGTGTCCTGACATGGTTACTGCTGGTTGTGGGTGTGTCTGACATGGTTACTGCTATCTGTGGGTGTGTCCTGACATGGTTACTGCTGGTTGTGGGTGTGTCCTGACATGGTTACTGCTGGTTGTGGGTGTGTCCTGACATGGTTACTGCTGGTTGTGGGTGTGTCCTGACATGGTTACTGCTGGTTGTGGGTGTGTCCTGACATGGTTACTGCTGGTTGTGGGTGTGTCCTGACATGGTTACTGCTAGCGGTATCTGGGTGTGTCCTGACATGGTTACTGCTATCTGTGGGTGTGTCCTGACATGGTTACTGCTGGTTGTGGGTGTGTCCTGACATGGTTACTGCTATCTGTGGGTGTGTCCTGACATGGTTACTGCTATCTGTGGGTGTGTCCTGACATGGTTACTGCTATCTGTGGGTGTGTCCTGACATGGTTACTGCTGGTTGTGGGTGTGTCCTGACATGGTTACTGCTGGTTGTGGGTGTGTCCTGACATGGTTACTGCTAAGCGGTGGGTGTGGTCTGACATGGTTACTGCTGGTTGTGGGTGTGTCCTGACATGGTTACTGCTATCTGAGGGTGTGTCCTGACATGGTTACTGCTGGTTGTGGGTGTGTCCTGACATGGTTACTGCTAGCGGTGGGTGTGGTCTGACATGGTTACTGCTGGTTGTGGGTGTGTCCTGACATGGTTACTGCTATCTATGGGTGTGTCCTGACATGGTTACTGCTGGTTGTGGGTGTGTCCTGACATGGTTACTGCTAGCGGTGGGTGTGGTCTGACATGGTTACTGCTGGTTGTGGGTGTGTCCTGACATGGTTACTGCTATCTGTGGGTGTGTCCTGACATGGTTACTGCTATCTGTGGGTGTGTCCTGACATGGTTACTGCTGGTTGTGGGTGTGTCCTGACATGGTTACTGCTATCTGTGGGTGTGTCCTGACATGGTTACTGCTATCTGTGGGTGTGTCCTGACATGGTTACTGCTGGTTGTGGGTGTGTCCTGACATGGTTACTGCTAGCGGTGGGTGTGGTCTGACATGGTTACTGCTGGTTGTGGGTGTGTCCTGACATGGTTACTGCTATCTGAGGGTGTGTCCTGACATGGTTACTGCTGGTTGTGGGTGTGTCCTGACATGGTTACTGCTAGCTTTGGGTGTGGTCTGACATGGTTACTGCTATCTGAGGGTGTGTCCTGACATGGTTACTGCTGGTTGTGGGTGTGTCCTGACATGGTTACTGCTAGCGGTGGGTGTGTCCTGACATGGTTACTGCTGGTTGTGGGTGTGTCCTGACATGGTTACTGCTATCTGTGGGTGTGTCCTGACATGGTTACTGCTGGTTGTGGGTGTGTCCTGACATGGTTACTGCTATCTGTGGGTGTGTCCTGACATGGTTACTGCTATCTGTGGGTGTGTCCTGACATGGTTACTGCTGGTTGTGGGTGTGTCCTGACATGGTTACTGCTGGTTGTGGGTGTGTCCTGACATGGTTACTGCTGGTTGTGGGTGTGTCCTGACATGGTTACTGCTGGTTGTGGGTGTGTCCTGACATGGTTACTGCTAGCGGTGGGTGTGTCCTGACATGGTTACTGCTGGTTGTGGGTGTGTCCTGACATGGTTACTGCTGGTTGTGGGTGTGTCCTGACATGGTTACTGCTGGTTGTGGGTGTGTCCTGACATGGTTACTGCTGGTTGTGGGTGTGTCCTGACATGGTTACTGCTGGTTGTGGGTGTGTCCTGACATGGTTACTGCTGGTTGTGGGTGTGTCCTGACATGGTTACTGCTGGTTGTGGGTGTGTCCTGACATGGTTACTGCTGGTTGTGGGTGTGTCCTGACATGGTTACTGCTAGCGGTGGGTGTGTCCTGACATGGTTACTGCTGGTTGTGGGTGTGTCCTGACATGGTTACTGCTATCTGTGGGTGTGTCCTGACATGGTTACTGCTATCTGTGGGTGTGTCCTGACATGGTTACTGCTGGTTGTGGGTGTGTCCTGACATGGTTACTGCTGGTTGTGGGTGTGTCCTGACATGGTTACTGCTATCTGTGGGTGTGTCCTGACATGGTTACTGCTATCTGTGGGTGTGTCCTGACATGGTTACTGCTGGCTGTGGGTGTGGTCTGACATGGTTACTGCTGGTTGTGGGTGTGTCCTGACATGGTTACTGCTATCTGTGGTTGTGTCGGACATGGTTACTGCTGTCTGTGAGTGTCTCTGACACGGTTACTGCTGGAACAGCAGGCACTGGGTCAGGTGTGTGTTTTACACACTGTCAGGTCTGTGTGTGAGATTTCTCTTCTAATGTCCTAAATACCAAATTTTCAGCGTGGACAGAACAACCGACTTGAAAATTCCACCATCAAGTATACCGTAGACTTCATCCGCAATCTTCCTGCCACAGACAATCTTGACAATGTTGGGGAGGTCGTCTTCAAGTGAGTGGGTTTTATTGTTTTTGTCATTGTGTCCTTGAGTCAGGTATTTGAAATAAGTTGTTTAGGCCAGACCAATTTTATTTCTTGTTTTTTGGATTTTTGTGCTCAGAAAGCCTAAATGCAAGAGGGAAAAAAATAAAAAAATATAAATCACTATTCAAAGTAATATTCCGTGTAAATACAAAAAGTATTATATTTTTGGCAATTTATCAAGTGTATATGCGGCAAAAAAACAATCCAAAATTATATTTTTTGTAAGTTTACATTTTTGGCCAATGAAAACATTTGGCCAATGAAAACATGATTTTATTTTTTGAGCAGGGAAAATTAATTTTTATTTTTTTCTCTTTTTCTTGAAAACATACTACCTGCCGATCCGTAAAACAAGAAACAAAATAAAAAAATTGTGTAACAAGCTGATGGAGGTTGCAGGTTACAAATAGGTTTTCATGATTCTAACATATGGATGTATGATGTTGCATCCTTTGGAGATGAGTGAATTACAGGTGTGTGACCTTGCAAATGTGTTGCAGAGGGACTAAGAATAAGGCTGAGTTGATCAACCGGTTCAAGCAGAGTGTCCAGTACTACCTGAATGGAACGCAGGAGGGTTTCCTTAAGTACAGACCCAGGTTGAAGAGTAAGTACACAACCAATCTGCCTCTGCCCCCCTTCCTGCCCTGCCTCACCCCACAAGCATACCCTAACCTGCTCTGCCCTGCCCTGCCCCTGCCCTGCCCTGCCCCTGCCCTGCCCTGCCCTGCCCTGCCCTGCCCTGCCCTGCCCTGCCCTGCCCTGCCCTGCCCTGCCCTGCCCTGCCCTGCCCTGCCCTGCCCTGCCTGCCCTGCCCCCTGCCCTGCTGCCCTGCCCTGACATTGATGTGTCCCATCCCACCCTTGACCCTGCCCTGCCTGACCATACCCCTCCCCACCTCACCTCACCTCACCTCACCTCACCTCACCTCACCTCACCTCACCTCACCCTGCTCTATCTGCTGTAGGCTTGGGAAAATATTTGAAAATAATAATTTCACAAGTCAGGTTGTCAAATTTTATATTCATGTTTAATGGCTTTGCCCATATGACTTACTGCTTTGATTACACTGTTGAAATACCTCTATGTAATTTTGTTGCTATTTGCCCATGACAACACCAGATTGGATTACTGCAAAGTCATGGAAAGACATGTAAAAGCATGTTGCAGTGACCTCACTGTTTATGTAAAGTTGATGAAGCTGTGGCAGAAAGTGGACTTTGTGTGTTGGTGTTTCAGTGCCTGGTTCTCCCCGGCAGCAGGGCAGTTATCCTGGGACTCAAAACGGACATGCGGTAACTACACTATACATCACCTCTCGCATGATTTTATAACATGCAGCTCTTCCCCCATGTCGAAAACCCAAACAACTGACATTCTGTCCCAATTTCTACACTTTTGTGCTCTTTTCAAAACTGGGCGTTGCCCCATAACAGGACATACTTGTATATATTGATTGTTTCTTTCTGTTATTTTACTCATATATGAGTTAAACATGAGTTTAAAACCTGAGAAAGCTTTTTGTATTTTCGTTCCTTGGGAAATTGTTGACTCTTCAAATACTAGGCTGCTTGGAAAATGCAATATTAGGAACCAGTTTGCTCCCAAGAAAAAAATATTGGCTTTGGTATTGGTAGCCTGCTTTTGTTGTCATACCTCAAGGTCAAGTGTCAAGGCACTGTATGGCTTCATGGGAGTTCATGTGTGACTTGAGGTAGGTTTGTGCAGCAATCCACATACTGCAGAAATATGGCAGAAGCACATGTGTTCCATCAAGCAGAGAGTTTTTGTTCAGAGATTTACTGAAAACTCATTGTAATCACCCAAATGATACATTTTGCTGTTACGAAAGTAACACCTGAACACAAAGTCCATGTGAGATATGGCACTTATCAATCATACCCCTCGCGATAATTCTGTTAGACATTCCGTGACAAAACACATGCTTTAAGCTATCTATTTACAATATGACACACCAGTGATATGAATTTGGACATGTTAGAAGCCTCAATGAAGATATTTGTGATGAGGATATTACCAAAATATCCATGCAAAACAGTAGTGTGACACCTGCCCTTTTACCCACATCCTTACCCTCGTTTTTCACGTCCTCAGTAAGGTACATTCTACTCACAGAAACTATGATCATCATCATGGCTCATGTTAACAATAATGGCGATTAAATATGATGATTAGGCCAGTGTTTATAATCAAGTAATGTCAAAAGTTTTGGAGACACATTATGAAAAGTCTGTTTCATAATACACCTTCAACATATTCACGAACATTGTCCATGTTTATGAAAGTAAGGTCCATATGTGTTATGACATTGTTGTTTGTGAAACAGGAAATATCTGGTTATGGGGACAGTCTTGGCCAGCATCCTGCTCCCCAAATAGTGATAGATCCCCCACATCACAACGCTCTGGGTGAGTTTGGACGAAGGCATGGCTACGGAAGTAGCGGAGATGCAAGCATGAACAATCGCCACCTACAGTTCAATGGTAATAGTCGCAGTGCATCCAAACTAATGTCACCGCAGCAGTCTGACAACTGGAACCGTGTTGCCTGCAGTAGGGGGAAATGCTTTTCAAAAGTTGTTTAAAAAAGCTGAGAATACATAAACATCATCTGCTAATCTCCGAGTTCATTGGGTTAATTGTGTTTCAGGATGAGGGTTGGTAGAAGACTTCAGCTCATATTTGGTGGCATATGCCAGTCTCTACTGTCTACCAGAGTCAAGTCAGTGTGTCTACTACCTTCAGGGAATATTTGTCATGTTTACACAAAAATCTCCTGAGAATAGTCCCAATACACGGCAAAGGAGGGACAAGGGTTGCCCAGTGATTTGAGATGCAGCGGTTCACGTTGTGGAGCTGCATCAAACTCTTTGATTCTAGAAACTATATTCATGGGTTCAAATTCCAGCACCAGCACCATACATATGCTCTAGAGTATCAGGGCTGTGGGGTAGCCTAGTGGTTAAAGCGTTGGCTCGTCAAGCCGAAGACCCGGGTTCGATTCCCCACATGGGCAGAATGTGTGAAGCTCATTTCTGGTGTCCCCCTCCGTGATATTGCTGGAATATTGCTAAAAGCGGCGTAAAATCAAACTCACCCACCCTCTAGAGTATCATGAAAGATTGTGACAGTATTAGACTTGTATCTATCACCTCCAGCTTTCTTCACATGTTTCGATTGTCTGGTCCAGACGCGATTATTTACAGACCGCTGCCACATAACTGGAATATTGCTGAGTGCGGCGTAAAACTAAACTCGCTCAATCACTCCTCCCATGTTTTCTCCCATGATATGACTCAATACTGTCCAAAATGGCATCAATTTGAACTCAAAGCTCAGCTAAGTAGATTACAGTGTCCGTGGGATCATCCGTGGAACTGTTACGATTTGGAACTAGAGGCTTCATTAGCAGGGACTAGCTTGTTTCCCCAAGTGGGGCAAGACGACTCGTACAGTTCTCAGACTGCTGATTGTACATAACCTTCACTACCTCATACTGTGTGTCTGTCCACCCTAACCATGTGTGTAGTTCCTCATGCAGACCCTTGTTGTCCTGGCAATTATAGTGAAATATATATTGGAAAGCAACTGTCTAAGGGAAAATGGGATTCCTTTGTATGTTCACTGTCAAAGTCACTTTGTTTATACTTCAAATTAACACTGTTTCGTTTTCTGTTCTTTGAACTTTATGTAATTCTGGGGATGAAGAAATGAGTACCAATATTCAGTGGTTCATGCTAAATATTCAGTACATCATGAATACATCATGAATACATCGTGACTAATAGTGTATTCTGCTGACGTAATGTCCTCTCCACTATGATAGACATTGTGATATGTAATGTGTATGACATTGTGATATATGTAATGTGTATGACATTGTGATATATGTAATATGTATGACATTGTGATATATGTAATGTGTATGACATTGTGATATATGTAATATGTATGACATTGTGATATATGTAATGTGTATGACATTGTGATATATGTAATGTGTATGACATTGTGATATATGTAATGTTTATGACATTGTGATATATGTAATGTGTATGACATTGTGATATATGTAATGTGTATGACATTGTGATATATGTAATGTGTATGACATTGTGATATGTAATGTGTATGACATTGTGATATATGTAATGTATGACATTGTGTATGTACATGTGTGACATTGTGATATATGTAATGTGTATGACATTGTGATATATGTAATGTGTATGACATTGTGATATATGTAATGTGTATGACATTGTGATATATGTAATGTGTATGACATTGTGATATATGTAATGTGTATGACATTGTGATATATGTAATGTTTATGTTCTGTATGTTCTGTATGTGGGGGAGGAGAGGGAGAGGATTTTGTTGGCATATTGTCATCCTAGAAACCAGGCCGACACATCGCTTCGAAGCTAACTGAACAAGCAACAAATTCTAAGTAAATACGCCATCTCCCAGAACAATCAGTGGTGCCAGATACACACTGCACACTTGATGACTCATAGTTTTGTTTCTTGTGTTCTAACTGTTTACTAATTGTGAATTTTAGGAGGATGCAACTTGGCACTTCTATTTTGTGTCATGTTTTGGGTATCCTGAGTGCGAGTAGAACTTCAGTCTTTACAGTATTGAACCTGACCACTTGTGTGAACATTTCTTGGGTCCAGTTGTATTCTCCCAAGCTATGGACACAGTGGTCACTTTACTTTTACAATCTTCCTGTCTCAACACCGATGTGACCCCATGTATAGTAGGTGTCGTAATTTGTTAGAACTGTCTTGGGAGTTAAGTGTGTTCAGTTAATGTGATGGGCTGTGAAGTATGGAAGCCTGGTTTTTAGGAAGATTTGTTTGCAGTGTAATTAGTGTTACTTGACTTGAGTTTTGTTCCAAAGTCATTGGGTATCAGGGGCCTGGTTGGATGTGTAACATTGTGTCCCCACCGTGTGGTAACAATGTTACTATCTACTGTCTTTCACTGACAAGGTTCCTTGGCGTGGCTTCAATACTGCTGATTGTGGTGTAAAACAGCAGTCATTCACCCACTGAGTTCATTTGCCTTTAGCCCTTTTGTCCTCATGCTTCACCTACTACTTGTGATCAGTGCTGATCAAAGCTGATTCCCGATGATCAGTGCTGATCAAAGCTGATTCCCGATGATTAGTGCTGATCAAAGCTGAATCCCGCTGATCAAAGCTGATTCCAGATGATCAGTGCTGATCAAAGCTGATTCCAGATGATCAGTGCTGATCAAAGCTGAATCCCGCTGATCAAAGCTGATTCCAGATGATCAGTGCTGATTCCAGATGATCAGTGTTGATCAAAGCTGATACCTGCTGAACAAAGCTGATTCCTGCTGATCAGTGCTGATTCCCACTGATCAAAGCTGATTCCCGATGTTCAGTGATGATCAAAGCTGATTCCCGATGTTCAGTGATGATCAAAGCTGATTCCCGATAATCAGTGCCGATCAAATTTGCTCCCTTCATTTCTGCTGATCCTTGCATCGTCTCTTCCTGTCTCAACTTATCTTCTATCGGAGCATGCTTTTGTGGTTGGATTCTCTTGTTCAGCTGAATTTCTTTCTCATTGCTGATTCCCCGCTGATCAAAGCTGATTCCTGCTGATCTAAATATCATTTCACCAAACAATGTTGAGGAACCTTGTCAACTGTCTGAATTGGGTCACGCCAGCGCAGCAGGTCTTGGAGCGTCCGAGCGACTCTACACAGCTAATCGGGGGAGTTGACATAAACATCCCTATTCAGATTATCAAGTTTCAACTGTATTGAGCATTATTGAGTGTTTCTGACTCAGGTGTAGACAGCAACGACAAATTGGGTTCGTCTTCCTCTAGCAGTGGTTCCAGCCCCACCTGTCGACTCAGCCCAGAGGGAGGGTGGTCAAACAAGGTACGTCCCACACACAAGCACCTGTCAACACTGGCTATCCTTACCACCTTCCCCTGGAGGTGGTGTGGCCAAACAACTGGTGTCCCACAGTCAAGCACTTAATGTTATAATGACACGCCTCTATGGTCTGTGGCACGCCTCCATGGTCTGTGGTACGCCTCTATGGTCTGTGGCACGCCTCTATGGTCTGTGGAAAAAGTGTGTTGTTCTTACTGTGATGAGTCATTATACTTTGTTGGAGAAAGGAGTCCATGTTGAACTCTGCCATGGTATATCAGGTGGCTAGCAATGTAAAACCAACAACATTCTGGACTTGTAGACTTACACAAACAACACATACACATGCTATTTTAGAGTTGATGCATGTCTTAGTATATCCAGAATGATCCCCGACCGCGACATACCAAAATATGTTAAAATATGGTACTTGTTGGTCCCTGACCCGTGAAGATCTGGGGTAGAATAGGTCTTCAGCAACCCATGCTTGCCACAAAAGGCGACTATGCTTGTCGTAAGAAGCGACTAACGGGATCGGGTGGTCAGGTTCGCTGACTTGGTTGACACATGTCATCGGTTCCCAATTGCACAGATCGATGCTCATGCTGTTGATCACTGGATTGTCTGGTCCAGACTCGATTATTTACAGACTGCCGCCATATAGCTGGGATATTGCTGAGTGCGGCATAAAACTGAACTCACTCACTCACTCACTTGTTGGTCCCTGCCTGGCGCTCAGCATTAATTGGTACAACAAGGACTGGTCGGCTCGGAGTCTGTATACTGTGTCTGAGTGTGGTATTCATGCTTCACTGCAGCATGGTATCTCAGTGGGCTAGCACTATAAAACCAGCTTCAGTCTGGGCTAGTACAAGCAGCCCACATACACATACACATGTATGCAAATATTCTCAAGTACGACGTTAAACCCCATTTAACCTCACCTCACCTTCGTATATCCCAATTGCGTAGATCGATGCTCATGCTGTTGATCACTGAATTGTCTGCTCCAGACTTGATATTTTAGACCGCTGCCATATAGCTGGAATATTGCTGAGTGCGGCGTTAAACAACAAACAAACAAAACCAATATTTTAGGGAAGAAATCCCCCAGATAATGTCTGGTAATGTCCCAGCCTTGACAGAGTGTGGCCAACCACAGTACGTCCCACATATTAGCACATAATGGTGACAGTGTCGCAGAGGGAGCCTATGAACCCTCATATGTTGATATTTTTCTTCAGGGAAGAACAAATGACGTTGATAACAAAGGCCCCCCTGTGACGCCGGAAATTGTCCGCATTGCCAGTGAGCGCCATCAGAAGGGGCTGATGTCTTCCTGGATATACCAGCTACTTACACAAGTGAGTGGTACAGAACCTCTAGCTGGATATACCAGCTACTTACACAAGTGAGTGGTACAGAACCTGAAGCTGGATATACCAGCTACTTACACAAGTGAGTGGTACAGAACCTGAAGCTGGATATACCAGCTACTTACACAAGTGAGTGGTATAGAACCTGAAGCTGGATATACCAGCTACTTACACAAGTGAGTGGTACAGACCCTGAAGCTGGATATACCAGCTACTTACACAAGTGAGTGGTACAGGACCTGAAGCTGGATATACCAGCTACTTACACAAGTGAGTGGTACAGAACCTGAAGCTGGATATACCAGCTACTTACACAAGTGAGTGGTATAGAACCTGAAGCTGGATATACCAGCTACTTACACAAGTGAGTGGTACAGAACCTGAAGCTGGATATACCAGCTACTTACACAAGTGAGTGGTACAGGACCTAAAGCTGGATATACCAGCTACTTACACAAGTGAGTGGTACAGAACCTGAAGCTGGATATACCAGCTACTGACACAAGTGAGTGGTATAGAACCTGAAGCTGGATATACCAGCTACTTACACAAGTGAGTGGTACAGAACCTGAAGCTGGATATACCAGCTACTCACACAAGTGAGTGGTACAGACCCTGAAGCTGGATATACCAGCTACTCACACAAGTGAGTGGTACAGACCCTGAAGCTGGATATACCAGCTACTTACACAAGTGAGTGGTACAGGACCTGAAGCTGGATATACCAGCTACTTACACAAGTGAGTGGTACAGAACCTGAAGCTGGATATACCAGCTACTTACACAAGTGAGTGGTACAGAACCTCTAGCTGGATATACCAGCTACTTACACAAGTGAGTGGTACAGAACCTGAAGCTGGATATACCAGCTACTTACACAAGTGAGTAGTACAGGACCTGTAGCTGAATATACCAGCTACTTACACAAGTGAGTGGTACAGAACCTGAAGCTGGATATACCAGCTACTTACACAACTGAGTGGTACAGACCCTGAAGCTGGATATACCAGCTACTTACACAAGTGAGTGGTACAGAACCTGAAGCAAGACTGAAGTAGCCAAATGATAGTGAAGCTCGAAAGCCTGTGTGGGGTGAATAGAAGCTAGGTTGGGGTGAAACAGTAGCCAGTGAGAGTGAAACAGCATAGCAGCGAGAGTGAGGTGAAGGAGGAAACTAGCAAGAGAGGGTGAAACAAGAACCAAAGTTGGGTAGAGGAGGAAACCACAGCCAGAGTGGGATTTAACAGCAACTAGAGTGGGATTTAACAGCAGCCAGAGTGGGTTAAACAGAAGCCAGAGTGGGTTAAACAGCAGCCAGAGTGGGTTAAACAGCAGCCAGAATGGGTTAAACAGCAGCCAGAGTGGGGTTAAACAGCAGCCAGAGTGGGTTAAACAGCAACTGGAGTAGGTGAGACTTGGTAACAGTAGCTGTTAAGTTTGAAACAGAAGCACACGCTGGTGAAACGGTATCATACGTTGGTATTGACCTGTTCTGTTGTGGAGGTGAGAACTGCTTATTTGCAATGTTTGCCAGTGTCTCGGGTGTTATCGGAGCTCCCATTGAGTCACTGCTTAATTAACATGGCTATCTGCACAAAGCAAAGTATTCATCATCCTTGATTATCCAAGTTATCTACATTATGTGTGTGACACCTTCAGTAACATGGCTCTGATGGAGATTACCCTCCAGTCATGAAGCTATGGTGGGTAGTGGGCCAAAGGTGTTCTCATGACATATCAGGGATCTGGTCATGGATACTGGAGTAATGTACTCTGTTTCCTCATTACAGTGTGAAATCAAGCTGCCTGTGATCCTTGAGGACGACACCAACCGTGAACTGCCATCCTACATCGACCTCTACCGCCCCATCAGACAGACTGTTTACTCTGTTCTGTTCAATCTTAACAAACTCAAGATCATCCATGAAAACCAAAGCAAAGAGCAGGGTGAGTGCTGTTAATGTTAGTCCACAGACTGTCGTTAGTCTATGTTACAGTATAGGAGGTACAAAGGTAGTAGCGCTACAACAGCTTTGTGAAATGCTGCCCTGGTTTACTTATCCAGAGATTCAACGTTGGGCAATAGTGAAATCTCCAGATCGTTGCTTCCATTTTTGCAATACTTCTTTTGCTCCAAGTGTCTTGAGCCCTATGGATATGTGCTGTGATCATTGTGACTATATCAGGAATGTGAAGGGTCACACATGTGGTGTACCTGTGAAAATCCAGGTTAGAACTCATCTTTAGCAACCCATGCTTGTAAGTGTGACTAACAGGACTGGGTCCATGCATGTTATCATATCCTAGTTGTATAGATCGATGCTTATGAAGGTAATCACAGGATTGTCTGGTTCAGATGGATTATATACAGACCACCGTCATATCACTGTTTTTTCTATACTACCCATCAAAAGTTTACTCACTTAAAGCACTCACTATATGTTATGTATATATTTATGTGGTTACATCGAAGATGAATTTCTCCACTAATTTTGGGCAACAATCTGCAAACCTTATGCAGATGAATTGCACGAGGATCATGCATTAAATTGCTGAAAAGCATGTGCAAATATCGTGCATGTGAACAGCCGCGTTTTGGTGTAAATTTTTGTTAAGAATTCATCAATTTTCACTGAGTTTCATCATTTATTAAACTCATGACAATAATCTTTTCACAGTCACAAATTTGTTTTACAATACATCAGTTCATGTGTATACAGTACATTTAAACAGTTTGGTGTATTTTGCAAAATCTAGTTTAGAACAGTTGACTGAAGTAAGTGGCTTCATTTACACTAATGAGTCTAAACTTTTGATAGGTAGTATACAAAGGCAGGTACGATTCCCCACATGGGGACAGTATGTGAAGCCCATTTCTGGTGTCTCCAGTGGTGATATTGCTGGAATGTTTCGAAAATCACTCTACACACCTTTTTGTTATCTTTTATCAGGTGAGGCACCCCCAAGGTCCTTTGATGTTCTAGTAAAGGAATGGATCATCCGTCGAGGCACCAACCGACCTTCATTTGAGATTGTTATAGCGAAGCCTGTTGAATGGAAGACCCCCAGCATCGAGCGCATGTGGTTGGGTCAACAGGCTGATGACAAGAACCGTAGACTCCACGCCTTCCTCACCTGCATGCAGAGTGACTCACCCTTGATGTTAAACACCAACTATGTACCACAGCATCTCCTCATCATGTGCTGTGTTCTCAGGTACGCCACACGCAATTAATTACAGACGTAAATTTCACTGTATGGCAACTCCAGTGACACAAATATTTCAAAGTGAGTCTAAGGGAGGTAACCCTTGTCTCTAATCAGTTTATAGAAAACTATTATGAATGTTTATGTGGAACCCACTGGAAAATTGTTTGATGAAACCATGCAAAGGCTTAAATTTTAACATGATTTGTTTATTTTCGATATGTCCTCAAAACATGTGACAGATAATAGGTGTGGTTGTGACAGCAGATTTGTATAGTCGGGACAGCAGTTGGAAGTTGCTCACGACATAGGCCATAAAAGATGACAGTCAATGGGAATCAGGCTATGTGTTGCTGGAATATCACTGAAAACTGAACTCACTCGCTCACCACTGTAACATAGCTGCAATATTGCTGTATGTGGTGTTGAACAGGAAGAAAATATCTGCTTTCACACGCACACACAAAATGTTTTGATGTTCTAACACGCTCAATCCTACTTGTTGTGTCTTACTTTATTGCTGGTTGTTTATAAGCACATTTTTTATATTGCCTTGCCATGAATAGTAATATCCTTATATGGTAATATATCCTTGAGTCATCTGTTTCGTTCAACATCGGTAGGCCGTTTGCGTGTTCATTTCTCGCGGTTATTAGCGAGATATTATGTCACCAGTCAGGTTATTTTTAGCAGGAGGTCGACTGTTTCAGCTCTGACTAACAAAATGCTTCGTGTGAAATTTAGTAAGGTACATGATTGCAAACACACATAAATGTTACGTTTTAGAACTGAGTTTACTAATGCATAAATTTTCATGTGATCAAAAATCTATCTCTAATATATCGTCAGCTCCACTTTTTCAGTATAGCGTCTTCTGCTTGTTTATGCTATGACGTATCATTATCACATGACATATCACGTGGCGTTGCCGTCGTAAAAAAAATATATGGAAACTGGATAGGGTCATCTCTTATTACGATTTCCCAAAATACTCATTTATGTGTAGTGAGATCTTCTGATGAGTTTTGGTGCCCTTGTCAGCGCGAACCGGAGGAGTGAAACATGCCTGGACATGTGATGTAACTAGTGAAGTCTTATCATGATTAACTGTGACATGAAATTATTACGACCATAGTTTCTAATAATTATTATTGGAACTATTACAAATATTCTTTTTGGACTGGATGTTTATCAACTTTATATTATAAAAATATCAGCATAGCAGGAATACTGCTATTAGATTTCTGTTTTATGGAGAACCAATGAAGTGAACGAAAACAGATGATGTCACTTCCGCATTCACGATCTTTGCGTAGCAAACTATGAGGCCTGCTGTTCGGGTGAAACACAAGGTTAATCCGTTAGATATTTGAATATCATGAATAAATAACAAACGAGGTAGGTTTGTTTATTATCGATTTATTCATGCACTTTATGTTACGTTGGTCGACAATCCTTAAATGACCGAAAACCGAATACACAAGGATACTAGTTATACAGAGTTCCTTGGATGTGCCAGTATCTGCTGAAAATAGGTCTGAATGGTAAATTTGCTTTATTCTTATACTTGGGTTCTGTTTGTTCTGATCTCACTGGAAAATATCTTCCAACAAAACAAATCTGATATTGATTGATAAAACTGACACTTCAGTGACTCTCTGTGATTTGTGGGGTGGTGGGGTAGCCTAGTGGTTAAAGCGTTCGCCCGTCATGCCGAAGACCCGGGTTCGATTCCTCACATGGGTACAATGTGTGAAGCCCATTTCTGGTGTCCCCCGCCGTGATATTGCTAGAATATTGCTAAAAGCGGCGTTAAACCATACTCACTCACTCAGTGATTTGTCCTTATAGATACACCCTCCAGTTCGGTCGAGTTCTCCAGCGACAGGAGCTGGATGCATTCCTGGCAATGGCCGTTTCTCCATTGCTTCACGATGTGCAGACCATGCAGGACCTCAAGGTGAGACAAATATCAAACTTAACCTTGACTTGTTTTGGACTATTGATGAATATACATAACACTTGGGTACTTACATTGGCGGTGACAGCCAAATATAAGTAAACAAGTTCTCACACTCATACAATTTGGAATAGTAGTTTGCGTTTAAAATGCAATTGAGTGGTCCAGTTAATGATCTTTTTTTTTTTCATGATCTATCGTTGATCAATGTGTATTTTCTGTCTGTTATCAATGATGAATGATTATTGGTCAATGATCAGCTCTTACCCCAATATATATTACTGAAGGTAATGGTTACAATTGGACCTCAGTTGCCTATGCAGGAGTTACAAGGTCATTTGGGGGATTGGACTTGGGTTTCTGTTGAGTGAGTGCATGTTGATGCATGTCATAGACCCATGCTGACATGGATCACTGCTCAGAGCAATCATTGGTTTTTCTGGTCCAGACTTGAATATTTTAAGGCCTCTTTGATTTGTCTCGAATATTGCTGAGATGGGCTATAACAACATTGTCAGCTTCTGTATGGATGTATTGGTTATTCAGCTCCCCACCATCCAGCCCCGGGGAGCCCAGCTTGCCTCGCTGTTCATGGCTGGCGTGGAGACAGCCATCTTTGCCAATGACGTGTGCGGGGCCCCCATTCCCTGGACCATGTGCTGTCCCTGGCTGTTCTTTGATGGGAAACTCTTCCACTTCAAACTCCTGAAGGCCAACAACAACACTCCTCTCATTGACATGTGCGACGGACAGGTGAGGCTTTTGGAACTAAGCAGGTTTTTTATCATATCCTGACCCAGAGACTTCAGACTTGTGGTCGGATTAACTTAGCAATATTTGTTGTAGACCATCATATGTCCAGTACTTAAACATACACATTAAAAAACATTGAAAGCGGATAGTGGATATCTACCATTGATAAGTAGCAAATATCTGGAAGGTAGTGTCCTGGCATACAAAGTGAATGAGGATTCACTCTCCGACAATGATAATGGTACAAGCCTTCAGGCTTCAGTACCACCAGTTGTTTCCCTTATTCCACCATAGTGTGTCAGTAGATAAGTCATAACAGTACAGTCAGTGTGTGGACCAAGGATGTGTACGATGCCATGTGCCAACCAACATCTGATTAGGATACACCTTTCTATATACAGCTACTTTATATTTATATATTTCTGTGGACCTTATTTGTTTTCAGTTTGTATGGTTAGGTCCAAATACAGATAGAAACCTGATTTATGCAGGTCATTATTTGTTTTCCTATGTCACAAAGTGGGGCAGTGAATGTAGGTATGCAGTTTGTCTGTCTGTACGCATGTGAATTTTTTTTCAAGTTAGAGAAATAATTTTTTTATCTTAATGAATCTCAAATGAATTTTTAAAAAATGGAACATTTATTCAGTTGCCCCTTGCTTTTCAACTTGTATACTGTATGAAATGATAGCATGTTTCCTTAGAAACTTCTGATGTTACATGAAACAAAGTGTGCATACTTATCCACGAGATTCTTGTCAATATCAAGTTTATCATCATTGTGTAATCATCAAGTTTGAAACTTAGTGAGAGATATTAGTTTCTGAATTACATCCCTTGAAGCATGTATTTTTACAGTTAAGACAGCAGAAGCTGCTAAATAGAGTATAAATTTCTCGGTGGAGTGAGCTGATAACCTCGGTCTTGTGGCCTTCCAGGTAGACCAGGTGCTCCGAGTGGAGAGGATGCGGCAAGCCATCATGGAGAACCTGAGAGTGGAGTTTGCCAAACCCCTGCTGCCAAATGCAGCCATGTATGCCCACTACCCCTTTCCCCCTTATCCAGGCCATCCAGGCCACATGGCATACAGACCAGGTGGGCGTGGTGCACCGCCCCATGGGGCGGGCCCACAGTCTCAGAAGGGCAGAGGAAGAGGCATCCTTGGTAATGGTGATATCACTTAGCCATCCTCCCGGGTTTAGTTGGCTTTTCTTTCATTTTATTCTTTTATCCACATTATCATTTAGTTGAGTGTATACGTAGCCACATTCTTGCATGATGAATTAATATACCTCCTTCGTTCATCTTACTAGTTTTCCCCTGTTCTCTCTTAGCAGTCCTACTAATTATTAAGTGGCGTTGTATTTGTATGTCGTGATGTTCTATAAAACATCCAGACATGTCACTGAAAGAAGTTGTCATGTTCTATATTCAAGATATGATATGGGGATAAGCAGTGATCCTAGATGAAGTGCTAGCTTATATTGCCTTCATGGTAACATTGTGCACAGTTCACCTGTACTCGATTACTAAAATCTAGTGCACATTATTGCATTCAAATGATTAAAAAAATATGAAATGGTTGTAAGAAAATGTTAGGTATTATAAGCTGTTTATTTTGGCGGAGAGAAAGCAGCTGACGTGAGGTTGATGCCTTTTACCTTCAGGGATAGTCTTAGCTATAGGTTTGATCAGTTTGGGAGCTGTTATTGCAGGGAAAGTCAATGTTGATTAAGTATGTTTTCTTTTTGCATGCAGGCCGTTCACCAATAGATTCCCGAGGTGGCCAGTTGGAGATTGCTGGAGTTGTCGTTGGCAGCTGGGGTCCCAACCTGTCTGCTGGACGTGGAGCCCGTGGCGGCATGAGCCCTCAAGTCATGTCTGTGGGGCGCCGTGGCATGCCAGGGCGGGGCTACCTGCCCAGCAGACCTATCAGAGGCCGCAGCCCAGCCCTTTACAGCATGGGTCGTGGCCTCAGACCCACATACAGACCAGTGAGTTGGGATTATTGATGCATACATTATTAGCCATTAAGTTGTTTCGAAAACATGTAAAAAGTAATCATACTGATTGTCTTTTGTGTGTTTGATTATGATCCACATACACTGTTTTCAATTTGAGTCTTTTTCCAAGCAAACAATTTTTTCGTTGTGTATTCTTGGATCATTGATAATTAGTTTGACATATAGTTGATTTTTTATTATTAATGTTGTGAAAAGAAATCAGTATGTAAGAAATGTTTTACTCAGTAAAGAGTGTTAATGCTGCCCATTTTTATGTGTGCTTAAAATTTGCAGCTACTTTTTTAAGAAGCAACAGGACATTGAGGGAAGTTTTAACATTCAGAATCTTGGACAATATTAACTGAGCAGGAAGGTTTAGCACGGACAATATTGACTGAACAGGAAGGTTTAGCAAGGACAATATTGACTGAGCAGCAGGAAGGTTTAGCAAGGACAATATTGACTGAGCAGCAGGAAGGTTTAGCAAGGACAATATTGACTGAGCAGGAAGGTTTAGCAAGGACAATATTGACTGAGCAGGAAGGTTTAGCAAGGACAATCCAGTATGTTTCTGGTTCTATGCGGTTCAGCAAGATATTTCCTTCTATTTTAGGGTATGTATGCTGCTCGGGGCACAGGCCGTGGTTTCCGAGCAGTCCGCCGGGCACCCCTCCGAGTCCGCCCCCGCATCAGTGGACGTGGGCGTGCCGGGAAACCCATGACGATGCCAGGACCGGGGCGTGGGAGAGGAGTTACTGTTGACTCCTCAGGGTGAGTGTTGTCTGTACCAGCAGCAGCTGTTGTGTGTGACGTGTTTGACGAGACAGTAAAGTGTTGTGTTTGGGGAGATGGAAATGTGTGTGTCTAGTTGTAGTTTTGGAAGGAAAAGACCTTGGTCTTGAGTGGCTCTCTTTTATAGCTGATGTTATGTTGACCTTCATGTAAGATAATCATCATTCGACCCGTGAAGGTCCGGGTTAGAATTGATCTTCACTAACCCATGCTTGTCGTACGAGGCGGCTAACGGAATCGGGTGGTCAGGCTCGTTGACTGAGTTGACATATGTCATCGTATCCCCATTGCATATATCGATGCTCATGCTGTTGATCACTGGATTGTCTGGTCCAGACTGGATTATTTACACACCGTCGCCATATAGCTGGAATATTGCTGAGGGAGGTGTAAAACTAAACTCAGTCACTCTTCATCATTCAGAAATATGTTTCGATAATATAGATCGATGTTCATGCTGTCGATTACTGGATTGTCAGGCCAGACTAATATTGACAAACCGCTGTCATATAGCTGGTAAAGTGCTGAGTGCAGGATCAAACAACAAGTAAGACTGTTCAAAGAGTTATTAAAACCATATTTTCCCCTCACTATTAAGTAGTTAACTTCAGACACTTGTCTTATTTTTGCTTTCAGCTATGTGGATTAGTTACTTTCCACCATGGGGACGCCAGGAGGTTTCTGCAGCAGGGATGATGTTACCATGGCAGCCAGATCATCCCATCTGCTCGTACCACCAAGCAGGACAATAAAACCACTTAGGCTCACCTGCTGCACCACCTGGCGACACTGCAATCTGCACCCCAGCCTAACAGCACTGCCCAAACAGTCTTTTCTTTCCCAAACTCCAAACCCCTCTGACGGCAGGTATTTGTGGAGCTACATTCTGTCTTGTCCGACCAGGAAACTAACAGGCCAACTGTAGTTATATTGATTCTCAAAGAAATGAATTTGAAATGGAAAGTATTTTCTTGGAATCGGAGATAATCAGTGTGGAGACATTGTGATGGTGGTTTGTTGAGAAGCTTCCAAGTCCGACAAGACCACAGCTCAATCTGAGTCAAGTTCAGTAATTGTTACTTTATATTTCTGTTGTTATGTTATATTGAATTTTTATGATGGATTTGACTCTTATTGATAAAACCCTGTACCTCCACAAACACAAGCACCTGTCGAGGCCGAGAATAACATTGGTCACAGCTGATCAGGGTACTTGTGATTCAGCGTGGCCACATCACCAGCTATTTATCTCGTGTAACGGGAACATGTTACGGAGAGGGTTATCTCCACATACCAATGGTTAGCCTGCTGAAGCAGACAGACAACCAAGGCCATTGAAGGACACTGTACAAGTGCTCTAAACAGAGCAGTCTTTGAGGAAGATTGTGCAGCGGCGACAGTGACGATGCTCGAATGAGTCACAGCAGCATTTGACGAACTGTCATCAGCTATGAGACTATCGTCAGGAAAGTCAGTGCTATCAACTTTATGGACAACTTTTTTTGGGTGTTTTTGCCCAATATATGCATTTACATTTTTACCAATGTTGGAAGCGCTGTAAGAAGCGTGAACGCCAAATGGAATCTTGCAAGGGGTGGACAGACAAGCAACTGTATGGATGGAGAGGAGTGACTGATGAGGATTTATTTTTGACTGACTTTTATACAGAGAAATGTATTATTTTTGTACATTTCATATTTGTTTTTGTACAATCTTGGCAGTGTTTACGGAAGGAGAACGGACAACAGAAGGAAGGAAGTTCCCCCCACATGGAAATGTTCCTTTCATGCTTTTTATGCAAGGACTTCTCCCTGTGTGAGGGAACAACAGGTTGATGCAAGGACTTCTCCCTGCGAGGAAAAGAAAAGGTTAATGTGGGCATTGCTCTGATCTCTGAAGAAAATCAGGTTAAAATTGGTCATAAGCCGTGGTTAAACTCATAATATCAAACGCTTAACATACAGGTTTGTCTCTATCAACAGGATGATTGAAGATGTTTTCTTTCTTTTAATACCCACTGACACACTCGTGTGCTTGGTACAGATGGCGATCTGGACAATTTCTGCAAGAAATAATTTCAATGAAGATTCCAGCTCTTGTCAAGGTGTAAGATTTCATCTTATTGTTGGTCCTCAAATTTTCCAGTTTTCTCAGATATCGGGTCAAAGTGTTCCACAACAGACGGGAACAGTGATTGCTAGGTCTATTAAGGTGAGAGAGAAATGTGTTAGTACTTCGAAGATTGCGTGAAACATGCAGGGTTGCTCTGTACTGAGACAAACATTCAAACATAGATCAGGTCTTATGGACAAGATTAAACTAAGGAAGCAAGTTCACCGGCCACGTGCCAACAAAGTTACAGTGCCTCCGAAGGGATGGAGGATTCTATAAATCTTAAGACATTGATGAAAAATGTAAGCCTGCCGAGAATAGACTCGACCACAAGGTGTCTTGTAAGGTGAGCATCTGTTCTGCGGGAACACAACACCATCTTTACTATGGGTGCCTCGACGAGCACCGACATTGATTATTCTTGTTGCTGTTGATATCTAGCCCAAGGGCTAAAGGTTAGGAGCGGATTTTCCTACTTTCGAATTACAAGGTAATTGTAAGATTGTCGCAAGACAAAATGTTTTGATAAGACGTCTCTTGAGAGATAAATGCTAGGCGAAAACACACTTGCCCTCCTCTCAGATGTCTAAATCAGGCTTGACTCAGCCTCCAATGGGTTTTGGATGACGTAATTTAGTTTTTGTTGGAAGATGTCTTTTAAGCAGAGATGTGCCCCTAGAGAGGATTAAGATTGAAAAAGGGGATCTTTTCAAACTTATTATTCTTATGTCAAGTTTATTATGCGATAAAATAATTGGAATATTCAAGTTGTGTTTTCATATCTTACACGATATACTATTGATGTACGAGTTGAATATTTTAAAGTGTTACTGAGTAAAGGTGAAGGTTGAACCACATATCGGGGTGCAGATACTTGTATCTTGCCGAGGATTTTAGTACATCATGAAAACTATACCCCATATACTCTGAATTGTAATCTTTTCCAACTTATATCATTAAGCTTTGTAGCCCTAGAACTCATTGTGACAGTAACTTTATGTACACCTAGTGTGGAAATGAAATAGCCCAGGATTTAGAAAATGTGAAAATATTTGAATAATTATTCAAGCATCATGGAATTTGAATAATGTAATGTGCATGTGAACTTAGCTATTGGTCATGAACTACATATATTCTTGTGTTAAATTGATTGATTTTTCTCAGTACCCTAATGTGTTATGTCATTGTTTTACCTGATTCAAGGTTTTCTGGATACCAAGAGAGGAGAGACGGATCCAATTTTTAACATTGTAATGATTAAACTGCATGACAAATAGTTGAGGACAACATATCGAGGGTACAATGTAATATTTCAATGTCTTTGTAGTTGAACTCTGACTCAAGTCAGATTGTCTTTTTGCCTGATAATCCTAATGGAGTAAGTCTTAACCTGAAATTCCATGATGCTAATATTTTTTAATTTCTTGACATATTGTGTGAGTTTCTAATTTGATCTTGCATATAACCATGCTTGCTTTTCTGATTATTGTTTTTCAGTCAAATTGCACAATGTTGGACTTTCAGTGTAGTGGTGACAATTAAAATGCCTGTCCCAGATGTTGCATGTATGGCTATTATGTTCGTATTTCTGAATTTTATTATTATAGGAATATGTGAATAATCATAATGCTAATAATGATGATTATGAAGAAAATATATTAAATATTTCATTTTGTTTATACTCACTCTTGATAACAATAACGGGGGGTATCCTTTGAAACACAGTTTCTTCGTACTCGTTACTTGTATGGTTGCTATAGAAACCAGTTCTTTTACCTACTATGACTACTGTTTGGCTTGTGTTAATGCAAGAGTGTTTCCTTACAACATTACATTGAAGAACTTAAGGAGATTGTATTCAATTGTCATGATTTTTTTCTCTACACTGTATCAAGTTTGACTTTTGCTTCACTTAGATAGAATATTGATATAAGCTGGTAACTTTAGGGACTTTGTAGAATATATTGTGATGTTTGATTTTCCTGAGATCTTCCAAGTCAACAAAGTACATTACAGCAGAGCACTTTTTGAAGTTTATGAATTGTCTGAAGGTTATTGGACTAAGATTCTGGGCAGTCCTTGTCTGTCCCGAGGAGCGACTTACTGTGCTGTTTCCTTGGGAACAGATTCTGACATTATCAGGAAGAGTGAACACCGGATGGTATGATAACTTTACTGCTTATTTTCCCTGATACAAGCCTCGTTGTCCGACTGTGGTAGGGTCTCAGTTTGTCAGACATGTTGTATGGGCTGAGCCAGGGACTGCCCAACAGGTCCTGTATAGAGGTATTTTATTGATTCCTTACAGCTAGAAATCTGTATCTGTGAAATATATAAGAAAAAACGGCAAAGGCTTGGACCAGGCCAGGGAAATGTTAGCCCAGGGTTGTCGAAAACAGTGGTACGGTTTTGTCTGTTACTGAATAAATGTTGTTTTGTGGTGAAAAGAAATGTTACCTTCTGTTGTTCCTGTGAATCTTTTGCATACTGGAGGGGAAGTTTGTGGATATTGTACATCATGATGCAATATTGAAGTGCAAAGTGATTTTTTTACCTGAATATTCCAGAGTGTTTTTGTCACACAGCTGGACAGCATGAGCAGTGACCTAGCTGTTTTGGCATGACGGGAGACCTGGGGGACTACTGGACCCTGTCGTGCAGCAGGAATATTGTTGAGTGTGGTGTTAAAAAACGTGGTTAAGCCTCATCCTAATCTGTCTCTCTCACACTCACTCACACACACACACACACACAGTTACAAAAAGCGGTGTAAATACCATACTACTGGCAAACAAGGATAAGTTGAGCACCAACCTGACAATTATTTGCATGTATGAGTGCCGCCCACTGGCGCTTGCCATTGTTAGCGAAGGGGCCCCACGTGCCCTTGTCGGTGATCAAGTGTAGTACACTACACTGATGTGACAGTCTTATGAGCAAGGCATGTGCAGCTATGCACAGAATCAATTTATCGTCATGCGATGCACGTGCACTAGCCTACATCTGCTATGCCTTTTACAAACCAAATGGGTTTGCTCATTGCCGTGCACCGCCTACTTCTCGTAAACACGTTCTCTGCACCAGTCCGACTTATCCTTGTTTGCCAGTAGCTCATTCACCCTGATTATGTTCAGGTTACTGCTTCAGCTGATAATATTGCTGACTGGCAATTTTACTGGAATCCCTCATGTCAAGACTTCCGATGAGTGTATGTTATTCGTAAGAAATATTCTTCCAGAACGATATGTAACGGATATTTTGTAGATAACTTGCTATCAGAGCAAGTTTTGACCCTCTTGATATCTATCATGTTGTGGCGAAACAACTCGAAAGTATGCACAGAAGATCATAAGATTGGAAAGTTTATATTAAGTAGGTTGAGGAGCGCCCAGGCACAGCTTCCCTTGCAAACATAGTCCAAAACACTGTCCATGGCACGAATCTAATGCACCACTCTGATTCCACAAGAATCTATCTTTGTTAGGTTGACAATCTAAAAACTCTATTGGAAGATATTGAAAGCACAGACTGAAGCTTGTCCATATCCTCCATTGTGAGGAGCAGCTCTTCTGCATTTCCTTTTCATGCATGGATAATTAGTGTTGGTCATATTATAGCATGCATATAATAACAGTCTGATAGAAGTGATCTGAAGAATTATAAACCTAAAACCACATTCAGTAGCAGAACCATGACATAAACATTTAGTGGCAAACAAGGATAAGTTTGACCGGCGCAGAGAACTAGAAGTAGGCGGTGCACAGCAATGAGCGAACCCATTTGGTTTGTGAAAGGTAGAGCAGATGTAGGCTAGTACACATGCATTGCATGACAATGAAATTGATTTCTGCCACTGTCGAACGAGGTGTTTGCTGACAGGCCACGCGCTTCACCCATGGCACTGCAATTGATCGTGGGCAACCTGGGGCCCCTTCACCAACAATGGCAAGCGCCAGTGGGCGGCACTCATACATGCTTAGGGGTCAATGGTCGGTGCTCAACTTATCCTTGTTTGCCAGTAGGGGCTTGCTGGCTTGACCAATCATCAACTAATCAGATGTGCAGAATCTAAGCAAGTGTGCTGCCGGACAGGGTTGCCTCTTCGTGGCCTGGCTGGTGGTCTTGTGTGATGTACATATTTGTACCAGTATATTTGCCAAATACATCAGGAATCGTGACAACATGGATTACACAGGATTCCTTTAATGAATGGTTCTGTTGCCACCACACTCCGCAGTATTCCAGCTGCAGACTTCGACAATCTTAACCAGTGAGCATCGACCCATCAGTGAAGGAGCAAGCGAGTCGGCCCACCTGATACAATAAATTTCCTCTCACCACAAACATTGGTTTCTGGGGATCAATTCTGACACAGATTACACATAGGCTTGATTCATGCAACAGTGAGTGAGTTTAGTTTTATGCCGAACTCGGCAATATTCCAGCTTTATGGCGGCGGTCTGTAAATAATCCAGTCTGGACCAGCAAATTTAGTGATCAACAGCATGAGCATCGATCTGCCCAATTGGGAGAGAGTGAGTTTAGTTTTACGCCGCAGTTAGCAATATTCCAGCTATATGGTGGCGGTCTGTAAATAATCGAGTCTGGACCAGACAATCCAGTGATCAACAGCATGAGCATCGATCTACGCAATTGGGAACTGATGACGTGTCAACCAAGTCAGCGAGCCAAACCACCCGATCCCATTAGTCGCCTCTTACGACAAACATGGGTTACTGAAGGTACATTCTAACCCGGATCTCATGCAACAGAGACTTGTGAATTATCTTGCTTGACAAATCTAACCAGGTTGACTGAACAACTATTCATGTTAACTGCTCAATTAATGACCTTCCATCCACACATCGTGTTGAAATGAATCCCTTCATACAACAGATCTTGAAATCCATTTGATGGTCTCTACCAGCACTTAAGACAAATCCCAATTGAAATAGACTGCTTTAATACAAATACATTTGACATTGTACATCATGACTTAGGTTTGAAGACGAGTGAAGTGACCGAGTTTCCCGTTTTCCCTCCGAACTGGAACGTTGGTGTGGGTATCACAGAATGCAGAGAGAAATCTGAAACCCCAACATACAACAGGTGACTGGCTATAACATCGTCAGCACTGGACCTAAAGTGTTTTATATGTTCAAAAGTATATATTTTCTCAAAGGAAATGCAAATTAACATAACGTAAAATGTAGAATCGAGTGTTACTTTACTTCTTTTCAGTAGTTCATATGCAAGTGAGTGAGTTGTGTTCAACACCACTTATTCCGTTAATAATACACCATGCCAGCTCAATGTGGAAGTGATGTGGGTCTCTGACTTTAACTCTGATTGTTTCAAGGTTTATCTGCACCATCAGGGCAAACTGGAATTTGAACCCAGAACCATAGGTTTCCATGTGCCAAAAGGATGCAACTCTACACAGGGTACCTCAGACAACTGTCCCATCCATGCCCTGTAGTACACGCACACACTGATATCTGACCGAGTAGGGTTTTAGCAACGTGGTGAGGGGGACAGCAGAAATGGGCTTCACCCATGTGGAACATTCAACCCCGTGATGTGCTAAGTGAATGCAGTAACCACTAGGTGACCCCACATCGCAGTAAAAGGATACATACATACACCAAGTGTTGGAAGTTAATGAAACGAGTGTCTGGTTTCTGCAACATTCCAGCAACATCACAGTGGAGGCACACCAAACATGGGCTTCTACCCATGTTGGGAATTGAGCTTGGGCCCTTGGTGTGAACACTGTAACCACTACCGGCCCAACTGCCACATGAAGGGACATGTATGGGAGTTATGACTGATGATGAGGGAACCGAGTAACAGAGCCTGGCCACTTGATCCTGTTAGCTGCCCCTTATGACAGTACAGGTTGCTGCAAACAAGTTCTAACAGGGACTACCTGCAGTCAGTGAGTGTAACACCACTGTGAACATATCAGCTCAGTGATGGCATATGAGGGAGGAAAGCCCCATGCGGTGCAGGTCTTGGACGTTTACCACAATGGCGACAGCAAGGGTATGGCACAGAGGAGGATCAGATTCTAGGATTCAAACCCCCGATCACTGGATTCTGGTACACAAAGGGATGTAACTCCATCGACTGCAGCACTTTACATAACTGGCAACAAAAACCTGCACCTACTGTAATACCTCTGCTAATAGTAATTGCTCTGTAAATAATCTACTTCCAAATGTATATTCCAACAATCTATAACAAGACGTACCTGTGGAGAAAAATTCCTCCAATTGTTCACGAGTCCAGTTACATGACGTGATCACAAACAAACCGTCTGCTCGGAGGAGATGCTTGATGTTGGTGCGGTACGTCTGCCGCGCGGTAACTGCGTCGTCTGGCATGAGGCTGATGGCATCATACGTCCCCTTGTCCACACACACCTTGTAGTGACCACACCGACATGTCAGTGCCCCCTCTCTCACATCACGGATCAGGTCAGCCGTCTGGAATCATTTTGGACATGTGATCCGTAACTCTTGAGACAAAAATAACTGCAAACTTTATGGAGAATAAAAGATTACTAAAAGCAGGATAAATATAATATCAATTTGTGAAGATTATTATTGCATTTGTAAAAGTTCTGTAAATAGTATTGTTGACAATGGGGGTTTATGGGTAATTTTACAGGAAATTGATACATTTCAACTTCTGTCTACAATAGTCTGTGACATTTCAGATTTAGTAGATGTGGTTAACACATCTCCATTATGTCTTTTTGTTGTTCAGTTTCATTTTTAACCAATTCCTTAATTTTATAAAATGTTTTGGAAAAAACTGACGATAATAAAGCAGACCCAGAATAGTTGACCCAGCTTACTCCACTGGGTTCCAGTGGTGAAAAGGATCACAGTAGGGGAGACAACTACATGGAAAGCAAACCGATACTGAAACCTGCAAATAGAACTAGTGAACAGATATTGCATTTGAAAGAGTATTTTGGTCTTTCTTCTAAATGTGTCTGAAAAACATTCTGATTAACCGCTTTTATTCAAGTTGTAATAGTTCTGTCAAGCCTATATTCATAAAGCGTGTTTGAAAATGTGCCACAATAATGAGGTGATACTAAAACTGTGTATGTGGGGAATGCTGTCTGGCCTTCAACACCTGAGCTCAGGCAGTACAACATTTTCTTTTCTGTCTGTGTTGATGTAACATTCTCAATAACATGTTTCTGTAATTGTAATTTTTTTAAAATTTACATTTGACTGAATTATGTAATGTTCTGGTTCAAGCCTGTTCAAGAAAGATCTATGGGGCTCATCGGTAATAGAATGAAAAGCATATTCTTTTTTGCTAAAATAATGTTTGGAACCTGTCATAATTGATCTACATTGTCTTAAAATTCATGGAGGTTTCCTGTACCTCAATACAACAGATGGAGGTGTCCTGTACCTCAATACAACAGATGGAGGTGTCCTGTACCTCAATACAACAGATGGAGGTGTCCTGTACCTCAATACAACAGATGGAGGTGTCCTGTACCTCAATACAACAGATGGAGGTGTCCTGTACCTCAATACAACAGATGGAGGTGTCCTGTACCTCAATACAACAGATGGAGGTGTCCTGTACACCTGTATAACAAGTGTTGGTCAACTCACTTCATACTTGATGTCGGTCATTCCTTCCTTGTCTGCGATGTTGCGAGCTAGCTGCACTGCAGCCCCGGAGTAGTCAACTCCAGTCAGGTCCCTGTACCCCTCCTCATGCTGAAACACATCACAGCAATACTTTAACACCTTGTGTGGAAACTGAGAAACAGGTCCACCACATCCTGCACAAGATAATGAAATGTATACAGCCCTTGCACACAACGTATTCTGATTCATGGACTGTCGTTTCCATCAGGTTCTTGGTGGAGTTTTTTTTTAGATTAGTTTTCATTCATCATGTTGTGCACATTCAGTTTCTCTAATCATATGTATACACGTGTGATACTCCGTCCTAGGTGTCTCCTGTTATGGATGTACATCACTGAACACGTGGAGAACCAGACTGACATTCACTTACCAGCTCAACCAGCATCATGCCGTTGCCACATCCCAAGTCCAAGATGGCGTCCTGCATGTCTACATCTTCGCAGTTCTCAAGCCATCGGACTACCCGCATCTGACTCTGCTCACCGAACCTGCCAGTGACATGTGTACACCAAATGACACAACAGCAACAGGATGTGAACAATGAATAACACAAAGGTTGGTCTGTAAATAATCGAGTCTGGACCAGACAATCCAATGATCTGCATCATGCTATTTATCACACCAGCAGTGAAATGTGAACATGGAATAACTAAACAGCAGTGACACACAAACATGGAATAATACAACAGCAGTGACATGTGGACATGGAATAACACAACAGCAGTGACATGTAGACATGGAATAACATAACAGCAGTGAGATGTGAACATGGAATAACTAAACAGCAGTGACACACAAACATGCAATAATACAACAGCAGCGACATGTGGACATGTAATAACATAACAGCAGTGACATGTAGACATGTAATAACATGATAGCAGTGAGATGTGAACATGGAATAACATAACAGCAGTGACATACAAACATGGAATAACACAACAGCAGTGACATGTGGATATGTAATAACACAACAGCAGTGACATGTGGACATGGAATAATACAACAGCAGTGAAATACAAACATGGAAAAACAACAGCAGTCACATGTGGGCATGGAATAACAAAACAGCAGTGACACACAAACATGGAATAATACAACAGCAGTGACATACAAACATGGAAAAACAACAGCAGTCACATGTGGGCATGTAATAACACAACAGCAGTGACATGTGAACATGTAATAACACAACAGCAGTGACATGTGGGCATGGAATAACACAACAGCAGTGAAATAAAAACATGGAAAAACAACAGCAGGTGACATGTGGACATGTAATAACACAACATCAGTGACATGTGGACATGGAATAAATACAACCACAGTCAGTGATGGCTGAGTTTAGTTTTCACGTCAGCTTTAGCAATATTCCAGCGACATCACGGTAGGGGACACCAGAAATGGACTTAACATTACATTGTGCCCATGTGGGGAATCGAACCGGGTTTTCGGTGACGCAAGCAACGCCTTAACCACTAGGCTACCCCACCCCACAACCACAGTGACATGTGGACATGTAATAACACAACAGCAGTGACATGTGGACATGTAATAACCCAACAGCAGTGACATGTGAACATGTAAAACACAACAGCAGTGACATGTGGACATGGAATAATACAACAGGAGTGACATACAAACATGTAATAACACAACAGCAGTCACATAAGGGCATGGAATAACACAATAGCAGTGACATGTGGACATATGATAACACAACAGCAGACATGTGGACATGGAATACCACAACAGCAGTGACATGTGGACATGGAATAACAACAGCAGTGACATGTGGACATGGAATAATACAACAGGAGTGACATACAAACATGGAAAAACAACCGCAGTCACATGAGGGCATGGAATAACACAACAGCAGTGACAGGTGGACATATGATAACACAACAGCAGACATGTGGACATGGAATACCATATGTGGACATGTAATAACAACAACAGTGACATGTGGACATAGAATAATACAACAGCAGTGACATACAAACATTGAAAACAGCAGCAGTCACATGCTGGGCATGGAATAACACAACAGCAGTGACATGTGGACATGGAATAACACAGGTTCACCCAGAGAGTTCACCATCAATATACCTGACATAAATTGCAAGCTTTTTCTGTGGTGATGTCTCAGGTCTCATCCAACATAATGCCAAATGTTTGGACTTTCTTTATGGCTTCAATTTGCTGTTCTTCCATAACATGGAAGATTGATTCCTAAATGGCGGTAAAGAGCATTTCTGTAAAGGTTACTGCAGTTCTACACCATTGATAACTTGTAGATTCAGCAAATCTTAAATAATATCAGCAGGGGATATTTTTCAAACCATGACACAAACAGTAAGCATTTGTTTAATGTGACCATCAGTCTGGTCACTACAGTGAACTTTTGTCTGCCTTTTCTGCATTTTTGACAGATGTGCTGAAATGCTGTTGCATTTCGTGAATTGTAACTTGCGTCATTGTGATCTTTAATCTAGAAGCTTGATGTCTCATTCATGTCTTCTGAAAATTTTGACAAGCAAATGTAAAGGAGTTTGATTTATTTTTTCCTGAATGCATATCACATGTCATGGTTTTGCAGATGGTTTTAGTGCTCATCATTAGAAGCGTCAGGAGATTTGTTTTTCTTGCTTTCATTACCGAAAAAGCAGAGTCAAGCGACAGCTGTTCCTTAGCAGAACCGATAAGGCTTAAATGACCAAAACATATAGTCTAAATATAGCAAATGACGTGCTCAACTGCTATTGGCTGTCTAACTATAGTGAATGATATACTCAAATGCTATTGGCTGGTATCTGTACCGCGCATTCTAGCATGGCTCTATATTTAATAATAATAATAATAATGAGTGAATTTGTAATTTAGCCACTCCGTTACTTTCGTTAATATCACCAGTGTTTTCAACACAGTTTGCAATAATACGAAAGCTATCATTGTTTGCTTTTCAAATCAATTTTATTGAACTGAATTCTGAGAGTCACTCATAAAACTTGCGTCAAGCTTGGCTGGTATAATATAATAATGACTTGATAATATTTTGAGAGTCTTTTAGAAAATGATTGCGTCAAATACGCAGGAATCAGGCGTCATGTAAAACCCTGGATCTATTAGCCAACACCCCTGTCTTGAAATAATTTTCAGCAGGTCCAAACATCTATGTAGTATGTACAGGAAACTATAAAGCAACACACTTATAACACACAGGCAGATATATTTCTTCTTCCTGGACACTGCATATTTTATCAAAAATGCATATGGAACACTACAGTTATGACAAACGTTACAGCTTACTGTATTGCCTTTAATCAGAGGCCATATGTCGGTATATGGTCTCTGCTATAATTAGTAAAGCAAACATGACCCAAAACTATTCACTGGCTACAGGCCACTGGCTTGCGGCTTAGTCACAGACTGTCTCCGTGCTGTCAACACAAATTAGGTATCGGTATGGGAGATCACTACCACGCCCAGCAGCACAGAGTCATGTTGGGGTCAGCTGCCTGTAACACAACCAGAGGGAGGCCAGTTGACCACTGGAGCATGACACTGTGTGGATATTGCAGGCTGACCATGCAGGTATAACAAGACCAGTATTAGATGTGTTAGACCTGTCTGGCAGTGGCTGGATTTAGCTTGATTGACACTGGGACAGCTGCTTGGCAGAATGGCTGATTAATGCCTCCAACACACTGTACCATCATTGCTTCCATCGATTATATATATCACACACCTGTCCTCATTATATACATAGACCAACATCTGTATCCATCATCTGTATCACACACCTGTCCTCACTGTATACATAGACCAACATCTGCATCCATCATCCGTATCACACACCTGTCCTCACTATATACATAGACCAACATCTGTATCCATCATCCGTATCACACACCTGTCCTCACTATATACATAGACCAACATCTGTATCCATCATCCGTATCACACACCTGTCCTCACTATATACATAGACCAACATCTGTATCCATCATCCGTATCACACACTTGTCCTCACTGTATACATAGACCAACATCTGTATCCATCATCCGTATCACACACCTTGTCCTCACTGTATACATAGACTAACATCTGCATCCATCATCCATTATCACACACCCTGTCTCACTATATATATAGACCAACATCTGTATCCATCATCCATTATCACACACACTTGTCCTCACCATATATATAGACCAACATCTGTATCCATCATCCATTATCACACACCTTGTCCTCACCATATATATAGACCAACATCTGTATCCATCATCCATTATCACACACTTGTCCTCACCATATATATAGACCAACATCTGTATCCATCATCCGTATCACACACTTGTCCTCACCATATACATAGACCAACATCTGCATCCATCATCCGTATCACACACTTGTCCTCACCATATACATAGACCAACATCTGCATCCATCATCCGTATCACACACTTGTCCTCACCATATACATAGACCAACATCTGCATCCATCATCCGTATCACATATTTGTCCTCACTATATACATAGACCAACATCTGCATCCATCATCCGTATCACACACTTGTCCTCACCACATACACAGACCAACATCTGTATCCATCATCTGTATCACATATTTGTCCTCACCATATACATAGACCAACATCTGCATCCATCATCCGTATCACACACTTGTCCTCACCACATACATAGTTCAACATCTGCATCCATCATCCGTATCACACACTTGTCCTCACCATATACATAGACTAACATCTGCATCCATCATCCGTATCACACACCTGTCCTGTCCATATACATAGACCAACATCTGCATCCATCATCCGTATCACACACCTGTCTTCACTATATATATAGACCAACATCTGCATCCATCATCCGTATCACACACTTGTCCTCACCATATACATAGACCAACATCTGCATCCATCATCCGTATCACACACTTGTCCTCACCATATACATAGACCAACATCTGCATCCATCATCCATTATCACACACTTGTCCTCACTATATATATAGACCAACATCTGCATCCATCATCCAATTATCACACACCTGTCTTTGTCACCATATATATAGACCAACATCTGCATCCATCATCCATTATCACACACTTGTCCTCACTATATATATAGACCAACATCTGCATCCATCATCCATTATCACACACTTGTCCTCACCATATACATAGACCAACATCTGCATCCATCATCCGTATCACACACTTGTCTTCACCATATACATAGACCAACATCTGCATCCATCATCCGTATCACACACTTGTCCTCACTATATACATAGACCAACATCTGCATCCATCATCCGTATCACACACCTGTCTTCACTATATATATAGACCAACATCTGCATCCATCATCCGTATCACACACCTGTCTTCACTATATATATAGACCAACATCTGCATCCATCATCCGTATCACACACCTGTCCTCACTCATATATATAGACCAACATCTGCATCCATCATCCGTATCACACACCTGTCTTCACTATATATATAGACCAACATCTGCATCCATCATCCGTATCACACACTTGTTGGCTGGCTGGTTTGTTGATCAACAGCACAAGCATCGATCTACACAACTGTCCACGTCACACTTGTCCTCACCATACATACTGGTCGAAACAAGTATCGCAACACCAAATACGTTTTTCTCTCAATATCTTAAAAATTGCTGTATAACAACACATGAAAATAAATGAAAAGAAACAAATTTCAAACGCAACATGCTGCACGTGCCGCAGGTAACAAGTGTGGAGCATATGAAACACTTGCACCCCTCATGTCATGGAAATACAGTTTCAGTTATCATTCACTCGTTAGAAAACTGATCTAAATGCACACTTATTGTCTTAAACTACTCTATGGGACCCCCCTCAACTAACGTCAGCCAAAAGATGGCAAGTTATAGGTATGGTTAATGCCAGGTTGTCTATGAGACAAATTGCTCGGCAATTAGGTCACCACCCCTCAACGATCAATTGATAAGTGAGGAAATATTACCAAACAAATGATGTAAAGTCTCTGCATCGTTCAGGCAGACCATGCAAGACATCAGCTAGACAAGATGCAGACCTGCATAAGACTTGTTCGGCGACTTCCTTTTGCACCAAGTCGAATGTTAAAACGGCAATGGCTTCCACATTAGCAAATCTGTCATAAAACTGTTAGAAATCACCTGAAAACAGCATGGTTTTAGGCCAGGAGACCTGTCTGACAACCAATGATGACACGTGCCCACAGAGATGCAAGATTACAGTGGTGCCGTCACCAACATCGGTGGAATCTGGCTTCTTGATGGAAGATCCATTTTTCAGACAAAAGCCGGTGTTTGCTTGAAGGATGCGTCAATGGCAACTGCAGAACATGGCACATGCCCAAAGGAACATCCTGGAAGAAGTTCTATTTGTCAGAGGATCCTTGATGGTATGGGGCTTCAGCTTGTCATAGTGAGAGGATATCTGAATGGACAAAGACACCAAGAGGAAACCTTGAGGAGGCAAGTAGTGCCTCATTTTGATAATCATCCCCTATTAACAAGGCCAATCATTATGGATGACAACGCCAGGCCACATTGCACATGCACAGTCTTGATGTCCTGCATCAAGAAGCCATTCCCACTCTTCCATGGCCAGCCAGAAGCCCGGATTTGAACCATGTTTGGGACATTCTGGGACACGAGGGTTCCATCGTGTTACCCGTTTGGGATGACCAAACTTTTCTTGACACATTATGTTATCTTAATTTCAGTTTTATTACAGGACCAAATTTTAATCAAACGATACAATTCAGATTCTTTATTGTTGACTTTTGTGTTAATGGAAAGTCATTTAAGCACTTTGGCTACAAAATTATTTCCTGTGAAGATGCACATGACATATAAACTGTGATTTAATACAGGTACCGTCATAAAACTTGTGTGTTGCGATACTATTTTCCATCTGTATAGACCAACATCTGCATCCATTATCCGTACCACACATTTATCCTCCACATATATATCGACCAGCATGTGTATCCAACAATTGTTTCACACGTTTATCCTCAACATATATATCGACCAGCATGTGTATCCAACAATTGTATCACATGTTTATCCTCAACATATATATCGACCAGCATGTGTATCCAACAATTGTATCACACGTTTATCCTCAACATATATATCGACCAGCATGTGTATCCAACAATTGTATCACACGTTTATCCTCAACATATATATCGACCAGCATGTGTATCCAACAATTGTTTCACACGTTTATCCTCAACATATATATCGACCAGCATGTGTATCCAACAATTGTATCACACGTTTATCCTCAACATATATATCGACCACCAGCATGTGTATCCAACAATTGTATCACACGTTTATCCTCAACATATATATCGACCAGCATGTGTATCCAACAATTGTATCACACGTTTATCCTCAACATATATATCGACCAACATGTGTATCCAACAATTGTATCACACGTTTATCCTCAACATATATTTCGACCAGCATGTGTATCCAACAATTGTATCACACGTTTATCCTCAACATATATATCGACCAGCATGTATATCCAACAATTGTATCACACGTTTATCCTCAACATATATATCGACCAGCATGTGTATCTGTCAAGATCACATGTGGTTGAGCTGTATATACGTTGGATGTTTCTTATAGTGTGGTTGAACTGTATGTGTCGGTTGAGTGAGTGTACGTGCAGTTGGGCTGTGTGCGAAGTGAGATTGCACGTGAAAAGCAGGCAGTTTCTGCGACTTAGTCATAAAAGGGGACGGTTTGATGTGACGGGTGCAGTCGTGATATGATAGAGCGGAGCGACGGTGTGAAAGCTGAGCCAAGAAAATTATCATGGCGTGAGTAAATTTTGCATTTAATTATGGAAATTGTTAGATTGTATTTTTATGTCCATAATGTTGAATTGAATAGCACAGTGTCGGTCATAGGTTGATATTTAAACATCACTCAGGCTTAAATGTAAACATGGCAATTGTTGGTCACTGTAGTGAGTATGTATAGGCATAATCACTTGTCTGTGTTGAATAACACGTGTATGTTATTCTAAGTGTAATTATGCTGACATTGCTCTGTGTATTATCATTCTGAGTATTTAATACTCTGTATTGTGTTGAATGATTGTGTATTGAGTATATTACACTCGAGTAGTAAGTGTGTATAATCATTCAATTGTGAATTGAATGATTAGTGTACATTGAGTATGTGACGCTCAAGACGTAAACAAGTGTGTGTAACAAGTACTTTGTCTTTGTGTAGTGTCGGGGCCGTATTGGCTTGACGGCCTGTGTGCTGGCTAGTTGAGTGTGGCGGGTCAACACCAAGTATGCTGACCAGCGAAGTGATGCCTCTCACCAGTGTTGTGACCGGACGTTGTCCAGTGCCAAGTATGGAGGGCAGGGTAGCCTCAAGGTATTGCCGGTTGAGTGTGGCGGGTCAACTCCAAGTATGCTGACCAGCTAAGCGTGCCTCCTCACCAGTGCCTCTCACCAGTGTTGTGACCGGACGTTGTCCAGTGACAAGTATGGAGGGCAGGGTAGCCTCAGGGTATCGTCAGACAGGGTGTGACCGTGTTCGTGAGGACGTGAACTGTACATACCATTAATCTGTGCAACCTCCTGTATAGGAGCTGATCGTCAAATAGATATGGACTGGAATATTACATTTTTGTAAATGTTTCATTTGTATGCCTATATTTGATTTGTGTATTGTGTATAGGAGTATGAGTGTATTGGGTACCGCTGGTGTAATGGAGTACTGAGTGTGTATTTGAGTGATGTACTGAAGGTGTATTTGAGTGATATATGACTGAGATGTTTGGATGAATGTATTTGAGGTGAGAAAGGGGTGTGCAAGCTGAATATTTGAACTTTTCTTGATTTTCCATTTCATTTTGTTTTGAAATAAATTATATTTATTTCAACACCACCTTTGTTTTATCTCGCATGGTGACATTTTGGTGGCAGCGGTGGGATTTGGTTTTTGTCACATGTGAGATATGTAGGTCCATTTAGTAATTTCCAAATTACTTTTCGTATGAAGTGTGGTAATGCCTTTCATTATATTGGGTGTCGTCGCGCCTGGTTTCCTTCACATTTTCATTGCTTGGTACTAGTGGCTGTAGGGTGCTGAGGTATAACGGGTCCCTTTGTTCAAACCTTACCTTGTATTAGATAGTATACATTTTACCTGTAGATACTTTGCTTAGTTTCACTATGGATTTAGTGGGCATATGTAAATTGGGCAAGGAGTTAGGTTATACAGGGGAGAATTTACAGCAGTTTGTAAGGGAACAGACAGATTTAGAGAGGGAGAGGGAGAAGGATAGATTAGAACGGGATGACCGGGAAAGGGTTCGGGAGATGAAGAAACTAGAGATAGAGAAACTTAGATTGGAGAATGAGGACAAGGAAAAGGAAAGGGTTATGAAGTTAGAGAGCATGAAGTTAGACTTAGAGGAGAAGAAGCTGCAGTTAGAGGGGGAGAAGGGTACTGTAGGTGAAGGTATAAAGCAGGAAGGTAAGCCACCATTTGTTACTTATGTGCCTAAGATGCCACCTTTTGATGACCAGAGAGATAACATCGATGCTTATTCTACTGGTTTGAGCGTGTAGCCAAGTCACAGGCATGGCCAGAGGTTCGGTGGGCAACCTTTCTCAGCACCTTATTGAAGGGTAAGGCACTTGACGCTTTACTCTCGATTAGACCCGACAAGGTGGAGGTCTACAAGGAGGTAAAGCAAGCATTGCTGAAGCGGTATGAGATGACTGAGGAAGGGTTCCGACAGAAGTTCAGGACAGCTCGGATAGAGATGGGTGAGACTTTACTCAGTTCTTAGTTAGAGTTGGGAATTATTTTGATAGGTGGGTAGATCTTAGTGGCAGTGCTAGGACTTGGGAGGAATTAGAGATTTGTTGTTGAGGAGCAGCTTTTGCATGGTGTTAGTACAGGCCTTTGTATTTTCTTGAAGGAGAGGAAGCCAGAGTCTGTTGGGGAAATGGCTAGGTTAGCAGAACATTTTGTGGAGGCTAGGGAAGGTGTTACGGGTAGATCTGTTCATCCAGTTAGTCAGGGTGGTGATAGGTTCAAGAAGGGCTCAGATAGTCAGGTGAAGAAGTCAGTACAGAGTGAGAAGAGGGATTCCAGAACGTTTGTGCCGATGCATGGCCCGAAATGTTATGGCTGTGGTGATTTGGGACATATGGCATCTTCTTGTTCTAAGTGGAAGTCAAACTTAAGGGCAAATACAGGTGCTGGTAGTGTTGTCATTGAGAGTGTCAGTGATGTGTCCGGTGAGCCAGTTGTAGAAGTAGGAGAGAAGAGTGAGATAGATTCTCAAGGTGTGGAAGGAAGTGATACTAGTGTTACAGATCATTCAGGTGAGGATGATGGCTCTAGTGGCGTCAGGTACAACGTCGCCAGATACGATGTGTGGTATGTGTGGGACTATGCCAGTGCGTGTTGGTAAATTGTGTGGCCATTCAGTGAATGTCTTGCGTGATTCTGGCTGTAATGGAGTTGTTGTCAAGAGATCTCTTGTGGATGAGGATTGCTTTGTGGAAGGTGAGCTTCATAACTGTACCATGGGTGATGGTAGGGTTTGTACTGTACCAGTAGCATGGGTTCCTATACATTCACCATTTTACAAGGGCACAGTTAAGGCAGCATGTTTGGAGACTCCTTTGTTCGATGTTATGTTAGGGAATATTCCAGGTGCAAGGGCTCCTGAGGATCCATTACCTGAAGAGGAAGTAGTAGAGGTTGTTGAAGCTGTTGGTGCTGTAGAGACTAGGCGTCAGAGGAAGGTTAGGGAGCAAGGTATGAAACCAATGAAAACATTTCAGTCTGTTGGCATTTCCTTGAGTAGGCTAGAGTTTATTCAGAAACAGAAGGAGGATTCTGGGTTAGACAAAGTCCGGAGAAGTTGGTGCAAGATGGTAGACAGAAGATGACGGAGAAGGGTGTGTCACGATATTTCGGTGAGAATGAGATGTTGTATCGTGAGTATCGCGAGTCATGATGGTTTGGCTGTTGTTCAGGCTGTTGTTCCTACAGAGTTGAGGTCAGAGGTTATGAAAGTGTGTCATGAATCTTTGATGGGTGGTCACATGGGTGTGAAGAAAACGCTGGACAGGGTTATTTCACAATTTTATTGGCCAGGTGTGCAAGGTGATGTTAGGAGGCACTGTTTGTCTTGTGATGTTTGTCAGCATCTCGATTCCAAAGGGAAGGTTGGCAAAGGTTCCTTTAGGTCAGATGCCATTAATTTCTACACCTTCGAGAAAGGATAGCCGTGAGACTTGATTGGTCCTTTATATCCAGTAACTGATAGAGGCAATCGGTACATCCTAACAGTTGTTGACTATGCGACTAGGTATCCTGAAGCTGTAGCTCTTCGAGGATAGAAACTGAGTATGTTGCAGAGGCTCTTTTGGAGATATTTAGTGGTGTAGGTGTCCCCAAGGAGATGTTGTCTGATATGGGTGCTCAATTTACGTCATCAGTCATGAAGGAGGTTAGTAGATTGTTGTCCCTCAAGCAGTTAACCACCACTCCATACCATCCTATGTGTAATGGGTTAGTTGAGAGGTTTAATGGCACTCTGAAGTTGATGTTAAAGCGGCTAAGTGCTGAGAAACCAACTGATTGGGATCGTTATTTATCAGCTTTGCTTTTTGCTTACAGGGAAGTACCTCAGGAAAGTCTAGGATTTTCTCCATTCGAGTTGTTGTATGGCAGGAAAGTGAGAGGGCCTGTTCAGGTGTTGAGGGAATTGTGGACAAAAGATATTCCAGATCCAGAGACTAGGACAACCTATGAGTATGTGTTGGACTTACAGAATAGGTTAGAGGAGACAATTGAGGTAGCTCATCAATCTTTGGTTAAGGCATCAGGCAGGTACAGGAAGCATTTCAATCATATAAGGTGAAGGTGCGCCAGATGAAAGCGGGTGATAAGGTGTTAATTCTGTTACCTACCAATCACAACAAGTTATTGTTACAATGGAAAGGTCCTTTTGTGATAGAGGAGAGTTTTGGTTCTGACAATTATCGCTAGAGTTGGGGATAAGTTGAAGACTTATCATGCTAACTTTACTCAAGAAGTATATTGACAGGAATCTAGTAGCTGTAGTACAGTGGTCAGTGATGTGAGTGTGAGTTTACCACAGTATGTTTGTACAGGCATTGTTGATGTGGGAGATGACAATGTGGAGTCAGATGTAGAAGGGGATTTGCTTGAGATTGTTTCTCCACCTTTGAAGGCTAAGGAAACTTATCTTGATGTGAACATTTCTCAAGATTTGTCGGATGTGCAGAAGACAGACGTTAGGGAGTTGTTGGCAGAATTTTCAGATGTTTTGACAGATTTGCCGGGGAGGACCAACTGTATGGAATATAAGGTCAGGTTGACTTCTTCAGATCCAGTTAGGTCACGTCCTTATCCAATACCTCATCATATGAGAGAGACCGTTGCAGCAGAGATACAGACTATGTTGGACTTAGGTGTTATTGAACCTTCAGATTCACCTTATGCTTCTCCAATTGTGCTAGTGAAGAAACCAGATGGTAGTTACAGATTTTGTTCAGATTACAGAGCCATTAATCGTATCACGGTTTTTGATTCAGAACCAGTCACTTTGGCAGAAAGTCTCTTTGCAAGGCTTAGTAAGTTTGATATCAGTAAAGCTTATTGGCAGATTCCCGATGGAGGAGGAAAGTAAGGCATATACAGCGTTTATCACTCCAGATGGGCTATATCAGTGGACAGTTATGCCGTTTGGTATGGTTAATGCTTCAGCAGTCTTCACAAGGTTAATGAGGAAAATCCTTAGAGGGGTAGATCATGTAGACAGTTACATTGATGATGTGATTGAAGGAACTGATAGATGGGCAGATCACATGGTAAGTCTGAGAGCTATTTTCAGTCGTTTACGTCAGTACAATATCACTGCCAGACCCTCAAAAGTGATGATTGGGTACCATACTATACCATTCCTGGGACATATTGTCGGTCAAGGTAATATTTCTCCTGACAGTAAGAAGTTAGCAGCAATCTTGGAATTGTCACGACCAACCACAAAGAAACAGGTGAGATCTTTGATTGGTTTAACTGGTTACTACAGGCGGTTTATTCCAAACTTTGCAGCCATTGCAGTTCCACTGACAGATTTGACAAAGAAGGGTAAGCCTAATGTTGTTGTTTGGACTGATAGTCAGGAACAGGCATTCCAGACGTTGAAGAAGCTCATGGCAAGTGCACCAATTCTAAAGTTGCGGTTTGGAAAAGACATTTCTGTTGCGGACAGATGCATCAGATGTTGGCATTGGAGCAGTGCTATTACAAGAACATGAGGGTGAGAAGTTTCCCATTATGTATGTCAGTCGGAAGTTGCTGGACCGAGAAGGCATATTCTACCATTGAGAAAGAGTGTTTGGCTATTGTGTGGGGTGTACAGAAATTGAGCCGGTTTTGTATGGGAGGAATTTCTGTTAGAGACAGATCACCAGCCTCTAGTGTGGATGACCAAGGCTAAGTTGGCAAACGAGCGAGTTAAGAGGTGGGCCTTAGCTTTGCAGCCATTACAGATTCTGTATCAGAGCGGTGAAGGGTGTGGAGAATGTCGGGCCGATCTCATGAGCCGGTGTCCACCGTGAGTTTATTTTCCTGTATTCAAAACTCCAATGTGATCTGTCCTAGTGTATATAATTATTTTGCAAATAATTATCAAGGATGGAGGTGTGTCAAGATCACATGTGGTTGAGCTGTATATCGTTGGATGTTTCTTATAGTGTGGTTGAACTGTATGTGTCGGTTGAGTGAGTGTACGTGCAGTTGGGCTGTGTCGCGGCGAGATTGCACGCGTGAAAGCAGGCAGTTTCTGCGACTTAGTCATAAAGGGGCGGTTTGATGTGACGGGTGCAGTCGGTGATATGATAGAGCCGGAGCGACGGTGTGAAAGCTGAGCCAGGAAAATTATCATGGCGTGAGTAAATTTTGCATTTAATTATGGAAATTGTTAGATTGTATTTTTATGTCCATAATGTTGAATTGAATAGCACAGTGTCGGTCATAGGTTGATATTTAAACATCACTCAGGCGAAATGTAAACATGGCAATTGTTGGTCACTGTAGTGAGTATGTATAGGCATAATCACTTGTCTGTGTTGAATAACGCGTATGTTATTCTAAGTGTAATTATGCTGACATTGCTCTGTGTATTATCATTCTGAGTATTTAATACTCTGTATTGTGTTGAATGATTGTGTATTGAGTATATTACACTCGAGTAGTAAGTGTGTATAATCATTCGAATTGTGAATTGAATGATTAGTGTACATTGAGTATGTGACGCTCAAGGCGTAAACAAGTGTGTGTAACAAGTACTTTGTCTTTGTGTAGTGTCGGGCCGTGATTGGCTTGACGGCCTGTGTGCTGGCTAGTTGAGTGTGGCGGGTCAACACCAAGTATGCTGACCAGCCAAGTGATGCCTCTCACCAGTGTTGTGACGGACGTTGTCCAGTGCCAAGTATGGAGGGCAGGGTAGCCTCAAGGTATTGCCGGTTGAGTGTGGCGGGTCAACTCCAAGTATGCTGACCAGCTAAGCGATGCCTCTCACCAGTGCCTCTCACCAGTGTTGTGACCGGACGTTGTCCAGTGACAAGTATGGAGGGCAGGGTAGCCTCAGGGTATCGTCAGACAGGGTGTGACCGTGTTCGCGTGAGGACGTGAACTGTACATACCATTAATCTGTGCAACCTCCTGTATAGGAGCTGATCGTCAAATAGATATGGACTGGAATATTACATTTTTGTAAATGTTTCATTTGTATGCCTATATTTGATTTGTGTATTGTGTATAGGAGTATGAGTGTATTGGGTACCGCTGGTGTAATGGAGTACTGAGTGTGTATTTGAGTGATGTACTGAAGGTGTATTTGAGTGATATATGACTGAGATGTTTGGATGAATGTATTTGAGGTGAGAAAGGGGTGTGCAAGCTGAATATTTGAACTTTTCTTGATTTTCCATTTCATTTTGTTTTGAAATAAATTATATTTATTTCAACACCACCTTTGTTTTATCTCGCATGGTGACAGTATCCAACAATTGTTTCACACGTTTATCCTCAACATATATATCGACCAGCATGTGTATCCAACAATTGTATCACACGTTTATCCTCAACATATATATCGACCAGCATGTGTATCCAACAATTGTATCACACGTTTATCCTCAACATATATATCGACCTGCATGTGTATCCAACAATCGTATCACACGTTTATCCTCAACATATATATCGACCAGCATGTGTATCCAACAATTGTATCACACGTTTATCCTCAACATATATATCGACCAGCATGTATCAACAATTGTATCACACGTTTATCCTCAACATATATATCGACCAGCATGTGTATCCAACAATTGTATCACACGTTTATCCTCAACATATATATCGACCAGCATGTATATCCAACAATTGTATCACACACTTTATCCTCAACATATATATCGACCAGCATGTGTATCCAACAATTGTATCACACGTTTATCCCTCAACATATATATATCGACCAGCATGTGTATCCAACAATTGTATCACACGTTTATCCTCAACATATATATCGACCAGCATGTGTATCCAACAATTGTATCACACGTTTATCCTCAACATATATATCGACCAGCATGTGTATCCAACAATTGTATCACACGTTTATCCTCAACATATATATCGACCAGCATGAGAATCCAACAATTGTTTCACACGTTTATCCTCAACATATATATCGACCAGCATGTGTATCCAACAATTGTATCACACGTTTATCCTCAACATATATATCGACCAGCATGAGAATCCAACAATTGTTTCACATGTTTATCCTCAACATATATATCGACCAGCATGTGTATCCAACAATTGTATCACACGTTTATCCTCAACATATATATCGACCAGCATGTGTATCCAACAATTGTTTCACACGTTTATCCTCAACATATATATCGACCAGCATGTGTATCCAACAATTGTATCCTGCGTTTATCCTCAACATATATATCGTGAGAATCCAACAATTGTTTCATCCTCAACATATATATCGACCAGCATGTGTATCCAACAATTGTATCACACGTTTATCCTCAACATATATATCGACCAGCATGTGTATCCAACAATTGTATTGTTTATCACAACGCTTATCCTCAACATATATATCGAATTGTATCATGTTTATCCTCAACAATATGTACCACAACGCTTATCCTCCTCAACATATATATCGACCAGCATGTGTATCCAACAATTGTATCACACGTTTATCCTCAACATATATATCGACCAGCATGTGTATCCAACAATTGTATCACATGTTTATCCTCAACATATATATCGACCAGCATGTGTATCCAACAATTGTATCACACGTTTATCCTCAACATATATATCGACCAGCATGTGTATCCAACAATTGTATCACACGTTTATCCTCAACATATATATCGACCAGCATGTGTATCCAACAATTGTATCACACATTTATCCTCAACATATATATCGACCAGCATGTGTATCCAACAATTGTATCACACGTTTATCCTCAACATATATATCGACCAGCATGTGTATCCAACAATTGTATCACACGTTTATCCTCAACATATATATCGACCAGCATGTATCCAACAATTGTATCACACGTTTATCCTCAACATATATATCGACCAGCATGAGAATCCAACAATTGTTTCACATGTTTATCCTCAACATATATATCGACCAGCATGTGTATCCAACAATTGTATCACACGTTTATCCTCAACATATATATCGACCAGCATGTGTATCCAACAATTGTATCACACGTTTATCCTCAACATATATATCGACCAGCATGTGTATCCAACAATTGTATCACACGTTTATCCTCAACATATATATCGACCAGCATGTGTATCCAACAATTGTATCACACGTTTATCCTCAACATATATATCGACCAGCATGTGTATCCAACAATTGTATCACACGTTTATCCTCAACATATATATCGACCAGCATGTGTATCCAACAATTGTATCACACGTTTATCCTCAACATATATATCGACCAGCATGTGTATCCAACAATTGTATCACACATTTATCCTCAACATATATATCGACCAGCATGTGTATCCAACAATTGTATCACACGTTTATCCTCAACATATATATCCAACAATCATGTATCCAACAATTGTATCATCCTCAACATATATATACATGTGTATCCAACAATTGTATCACGTTTATCCTCAACATATATATCGACCAGCATGTGATCCAAACAATTGCAATGCTTATCCTCAACATATACCATCCTACATTTATATCACACATTTATCTTTAACATATATATACTAGCCACATAAAGAAACTGTGAACACAGAAAATTCCTTCAGATTTGGAATACAACACAGAAAAGGAGAAATGATGTAGACACTTTATAAGCTGAAGTATCTGATGACGTCAGAAGTTCAAAATTGAGTAGGGGGTCACAAGACGAAGTCACAACGTCAATAACGGGTATGACCATCATGCGCGTGAAGCACAGCAGTGCATCGACGACGCATAGAGGCTACCAAATGAGCATTGAAGGCCTGGGGAATGGTTTGGGACGTGGTCACTGCCGTCTGGAACCTGTGTCTGAGATTATTCACCCGAAACCATCTGTCCTGTCTTGGCGTCGTTACTCGGGGACGCCCAAAACATGGGTGGTCGGCGACGTCATTACTGTTTCCATAACAACTGACCAATGCAGATATCGTGTTACGATGGCATTGGAAATGTGCTGCCACCTGTTGTTGGCTCATGCCTGCTCGAACCATTCCAATGGCTTCGTGACGTTGAGCAGATGTTAATTTTGGCATGATGTGAATGTGAATTCCCATGTGAATTTGTGAACTTTTGAATGACCAAAGATCAAGCTTTCGACAGTGACAGCAATTTCTGAGTTTCACATGTTGTGTGCAGCTGCACAGGCTGCATGTGCAGTAACACATTGCAAGTCCATAGGCCACCATCAATGACGTCACGTCGCCTGGCACCTGCATGAGCGTTTGTCTCCAATACTTGCTATGTTCACACCTTTATTTATATAAAGACACTGTCTGTCTATCTTTATATTTTCTGTGTGCACAGTTTCTTTATGTGGCCAGTATACATTGTATACCACAAACTTGTCCTCACCATATATCACCAACATCTGCAGATTCTTTATAGTTGTCCAAGTCCCGAACGTAGACATCGTCCCAGCTGGAAGACAAGAAGCAGAATTATACGTCTGTATAAGGGTAACATCAGAGATCTACCAGTGTTTATACTTCCTCCTCGGCCTGTGTATAGTGTTACCTTATTTAATGACCAGGCTGTCTGTAGGGAATATATGTGAATTGGTACAGTGCTTTCTGAGATGAAGTAAGAAAAGCTGACAATGTAATAGCATGGAGCAGCAACAAAGGCAAAGTAGAGGTCAAAATGTGTGGTGCCGAGTTCTACTACCAACCAAACATCACATTTTGAAGAAAAGTGTCTGAATATGGCCATAAATAGTATGTTCAATGTGGTTGGTTTCTGTGGTTAACATGTTCAAGACGTACAACTAACAAACTGTCAAAACAGAGGCTCGCTTGACCTTCCATCAGGTATGTGAATAAAATCTTGAACAATAAAGCCCAGTGCAAAAGGTTACCTTGATAATAAAATGAGTGAGTGAGTCAGTTTAGTTTTATGCCACACTCAGCAATATTCCAGCTATAGGGCTGTCTGTAAATAATCGATTCCGGACAGACAATCCAGTGATCAACAGCATGAGCATCGATCTGCGCAATTGGGAACCAATGACGTGTCAACCAGGCCAGCGAGCCTGACCACCTGATCCCATTAGTCGCTTCTTATGACAAGCATGGGTTACTGAAGGTCAATATTCTAACCTGGACCTTCAAGTGTAGATAATAAATTGAACACTTCAGGTTTAGTAATATCAGTTCCAGTTTAAGAAAGCAAATTATACACACACTGAAACTGTAGATTGTGTGCTTCAAACAATGTTAGTCACTAATGCACCTGCACTTCCTGTTTGGTGATCTCATTTCCTTTAGGGAAAAACATATCTGGTACAAGACATGTTGAAAGACTAAGTCCTGTGCTTCAAACTGCATTCATATTTTGTACAGTTCTTGACGACTGAGATCACTTCCTGTTAGAAAATACAGTTCACTAATCTGTCTCACAATCCCAGAACCACATTATTTTCCCTCTCTGCAATGATAAAGTCCTAAATGAAGCAAGTCTAGATTTCCCCAGGTTCAGGAAATCTGAATCTCCCAACTCACTAGGGTTCATTTTCAATTTAAATGGGTTTATTTGTTACTATTAAAATGATATATATTCAGGGACTAAGTGTTGGTCTAACAGTTCACATACAACACAACTGTTAAAGTGAAATGCATTCCGATTCAGTAACTTCACTTCGCAGTTTGGAAAAATGCACGTCACATTTAAATATAATGTCCCATGCCTCCAGCTACCTTAAACCAAAAGTTATATATGTATGCATTTATGACTTAATGACCTTGACATTCAATATCAGCCAATCAGGTACCAGATTACTTCTAGTTGTAAACACTGGTGTATAAACACAGTAAACCACCAAGAAGCGGAACTACAATACAAATTAACACTCAGATGTCCTTGACCTTTAATGAAGGTCACTCATTAAATCTGACCTTCAAGAGCTCGGTAACATTTCATTTTCAGGGACATTTCAAAGGTCTATCCAGCATAGAAACCAATTTGTAGGAATTCCATGCAACAATGAAAGTGTGCACATGAATCACTTTGAAATAGGTTATAGCAACCTACCACTGACACTGCAATGACTTGTCACATGAATTCTACAACCACTGTACATAAAACTGAAAACAATTCTGCAGAAAACGGTACTGATGGAACATGTTTCATGAAGACCTTTCAAACAGATCTTCCACAGACCTGTTCATTCCTGGATTCCTGCCATAAGATGATATGTACCAAGTTCCATTCACCTACAGTACATACTTCAAGAGTTGCCTTCCCCACAAAAAATTCAGACTAAGAATGGAGGATGAACCTTATCATGACAATATGCCAAAAATATTTCCCTGGGATGTAACAGAAATATACCTGATATAAGATGCCCAAGTTATCCAAGCACGATGTCCTGTCAAAAATGTTTCTTCATGCTACTTGTAAACTAGGTCACTACTACTAGAGACATGAGATTTTAAAAGTTTGTATAAGCGATGTCAGTGAAAATGGCTAAAATACTAAGTCTTGATTAAAACCTTCACCTAAAATGTAGGTCATCTCATCCTACTGAGATTACATCCACACACCAAGTATTACATGTACCAAGTTTCACTGACATCGTAAACTCTTTTCAAGTCATTATCGAACCAATTTTTCTTCAGGCTATGACCTTGAGGATGACCTTGACTGGCTAGCATGTTGAAACCACTATATAAGATAACCCGTGAGATATCCAAGCTTTGCAAGGGTTCATAATTAATAAAACAATCAGGCAATCACTGCCATGAGCCTGCACCTGGAAATCATTCATTACTTAAAATATGTTACAGACACCTTGCCCGTTAAAATCTGATACCGCAGGCTTGTGATCCTTTAAGAGAATCTTCTCACCCATGGACAATTCTACAAGAATATTGATCTTCAGTAGCCCAGGCTTGTCATAAGAGGCAACTAACGGGATCGGGTGGTCAGGCTCGCTGACTTGGTTGACACATGTCATCGGTTCCCAATTGCCTAGATCGATGCTCATGCTGTTGATCACTGGATTGTCTGGTCCGGAATCGACTATTTACAGACTGCCGCCATATAGCTGGAATATTGCTGAGTGATGCGTAAAACTAAACTCACTCACTCTTCAAGTTGATTGTATGTAACTCTCACGTTTGACAGGCAGGGAGCAGCCACCGGATACAATGTAACTATAGATGTCACTATTCATGAAAACAGGACGTAGTTTCAGCCTTTCCTTGTTCCTCAATGCTGTATCCTAGAGACCGCTCGTCAAACAATGCCTGAATATAGTGGCATGGAGGGGATATCAATGAACATACACAGTGTTCAGCATGGTTAAATGAGTGGTTGAGTGAGTGAGTGAGTGAGTGAGTGAGTGGGTGGGTAAGTGAGTGAGTGGTTAAATAAGTGGTTGAATGAGTGAGTGGGTAAATGAGTGGTTGAATGAGTGAGTGGGTGGGTGAGTGGTTAAATGGGTGGTTAAGTGAGTGAATGGGTGGGTGAGTGGTTGAGAGAGTGAGTGGGTGAGTGGTTCAATACGTGGTTGAATAAGTGGTTGAGTGAGTGGTTAAATGAGTGGTTGAGTGGTTCAATAAGTGGTTAAATGAGTGGTTGAGTGAGTGGGTGAGTGGTTCAATACGTGGTTAAATGAGTGGTTGTGTGAGTGAGTGGTTAAATGGGTGGTTAAGTGAGTGAATGGGTGGGTGAGTTGTTGTGTGAGTGGTTAAATGAGTGGTTGAGAGAGTGAGTGGGTGAGTGATTCAATACGTTGTTGAATAAGTGGTTGAGTGAGTGGTTAAATGAGTGGTTCAGTGAGTGATTGGGTGAGTGAGTGGTTAAATAAGTGGTTGAGTGAGTGGGCGAGTGGTTCAATAAGTGGCTAAATAAGTGGTTGGGTGAGTGGTTGAATACCTGGTTAAATGAGTGGTTGTGTGAGTGAGTGGTTAAATAAGTGGTTGAATGAGTAATTGGGTGGGTTGGTGAGTGGTAAAATGAGCGGTTGAATGAGTGAGTGAATGGTGAGTGGTTAAATAAGTGGTTGAGTGAGTGAGTGGGTGGGTAAGTGAGTGAGAGGTTAAATAAATGGTTGAATGAGTGAGTGGGTAAATGAGTAGTTGAATGAGTGAATGAGTGGGTGAGTTGTTGAGTGAGTGGGTGGGTGGGTGAGTGGTTAAATGAGTGGATGAGAGAGTGAGTGGGTGAGTGGTTCAATACGTGGTTGAGTGGTTGAATAAGTGGTTGAGTGAGTGAGTGAGTGGTTAAATAAGTGGTTGAATGAGTGAGAGGGTGGGTGGTTACATGAGTGGTTGAATGAGTGAGTGAGTGAGTTGTTAAATAAGTGGTTGAATGAGTGAGTGGGTGGGTGAGTGAGTGGTTAAATGGGTGGTTAAGTGAGTGAATGGGTGGGTGAGTTGTTGAGTGAGTGGGTGGGTGAGTGGTTAAATGAGTGGATGAGAGAGTGAGTGGGTGAGTGGTTCAATACGTGGTTGAATAAGTGGTTGAATAAGTGGTTGAGTGAGTGAGTGAGTGGTTAAATAAGTGGTTGAATGAGTGAGAGGGTGGGTGGTTAAATGAGTGGTTGAATGAGTGAGTGAGTGAGTGAGTCGTTAAATAAGTGGTTGAATGAGTGAGTGGGTGGGTGAGTGGTTGAATGAGTGGTTGAGTGGGTGCAAGTAGGATATAACAACACTTTGAACAGGACTGGTGGAATGGATCCAACACAGACACAAACCAGGATTCACCCTTCAGATTTCTGACAGGCTTATAACAAACCCAACTCTGCACACAGCAAATAGGTGGTCCCCTTTGATATTGTTTGAAAACCTGTAGATATCATTTTGGAATGACCCTGTTTATATCATGTTGGTGTGATCCTAATGATATCATTCTGATATCATATTAGAGTGACACTGCAGAGATGCTTAAAACTCCCAAAATGATATCATGTTTGAGTGATCCTTTTAATATCATATTGGTGAGAGCCTCTTGACTTATGTTGGAGTGACCACATTGACATTATGGTAGAATAGAGCACCTGTCACTGCAGGACTCGCTTGATGAAACCTACCTGCACCAAGGCAACCTTACATAATAACCTTGTTGCACCAAACAAAGACATTTTGCACCTGTTGCTTAGATAAAATCATTTACAACGTTTGAGTTATGGTATTGATGAGTTGGAACATTCTATCCTGCTTTATAAAACTTCGTGACATGAACAATAACAGTGATTCAATTCTGTCCATGTACTCATCAAAAACATTGTGTAAGTGGTTGAGGCAGTAAACTCATTTTTTTGTGTTAACAGAATAAATAACTTTCACATATAAAAGACATTTTCAATCTACACATGTTGTCTACTTGAAGACAAACAGTTCTGGAATGTATGTGTACAACAATTGAAGTATTCGTTGATAATCTTAACACTGTACACTTATACAGGTGAATTATCTTTCTCATTGTTGATAACATTCCTGGCTTATCTGTCCTTATCACATCTACCACGTTTTCTCCAATTTAACATCTCCCACGGGGCAAACTGTAATTGTGTAGTACTTGAGACTACAATGCACTGCCTGTGAAAATTAAAGATTCATGGAGAATCTGTCAAAATGCAGAAACCTAAAACTTGGAAGACTTTGGAGCAGGGATCAGCTGGTGAATATGGAATCAGTGAACTCCCCAAAACACAGATAGCTGCATGTGCAGATTTAATTTGTTTACTGAGAAGCAAAAACAAAAATGACCACTCCATTATCATTCTCTTAAGGGAACTATAAAAAAAGGTTATTTGTGTTAATACCTGTGAGTTAGTTTCTCAAATTATGATCGTTCACAACAATAACAGCTTAAAGGATGCATCACATCACATGCCCGTCTACGTCAAGAAGCTGCCTATCAATAGTATCGCAAAGTACAACGTGTGACAATGAGTAGGTGACTTCACCTCCACACATAGCGCACCATGTGATTGACCACATGGTTGATCTATTTTTAACTAGAGACAGCGGGGAGTTGTGTGTCACTTAAATTCACAGAGAGCGTTAAAGGTATTACAATTGTTTTGTTCCCAGTTCTGAAGACTGAAAGTCTCTGTCATCGCCCGTGACATTACGAGCCTTCGCCCCAGTGTTTGGTTCCATGTTGAAGAGTATTTCAGAGAAACGGAAGTAGCAGACAACAGTGTACTAGCCGGTAAACAACTCATTCTGATACTCAACAGTCTTTAAACAATTATTCAGGGACTGGTCATTCATTATAGGGAAGTGGGTGATAATATTGTTATACTATCATAAAATAAATGACCAGTCTTTCACGTTCCTGAAATATGACCAGTACTTAATATTTTTTTTCAAATGTACAAATTTCAAAACGTAAAGATCTTTGGCCTTCAGTTTCAGTGAATGCGCAAAAGACAACAAAATGCATGTCATGATCTTTCTCGGTGCCTTGCTGTTTGTGAAAACGGGGAGTCCAAATACACTCCCTTTTGAAACAAAAGAGGGATTACATAATCAATCTACTTCTTCACCAGTGCGTGAATGGTTCTGATTGGCGGTTGTTCATTTCTACTGTTAAACGTCAGTAGGATGAAACGTTCACAAGCCAGAGTGAGTAATGTGCAACCCCTCTGATATGTTTGCGGTGATTTGTCGCGAAAGGAGAAAACAAATATAAATACAATCTGAATATTTAAAACAACCAACAACAGTTGGATCACTGAAGCCTATTTCTGTACATGATCATCCGATGGTCGACTCAGTTAAATTAATAATGGCAATGACAATACTTTATTACCCGTGAGGGAATTCTTGTGTAAAGTACAGAGCTCAGACATTGATAAAATGATTAAATTATTTTCATACAATAAATAACACACATATAACACGCTAACAAGATAAGACAAACACTAGGAATTATTTAAAAGATTAATGCTGGCAGATTAATACACTGATGTCGGGTCATTAGGGTTCTTCCTTTTCACGATATAACGCTGGAAAGTATTTTATACAATGTGTTGGTTATGAATCCTCATCATGTACCACCCACTACGTCGTGTTTCATACAATGAGATCAATAGATAACTCGAGGTGGTGACTGGACTACAGGATATGTCGTATGAATGTAGTGTATAACGGAGTTGTGGGTAAATGACGTAAATGATCACGAGACTTCTCGCCATTTTGTGGAGGGTGTTTATTTCTGTGGATGAAGTTCTGATCTAAATTACACTGCGGAGATCTTGTGGTAAGGGTGTTACTTAATGGACAGAGTAGTTTGTGATGGTTTGATTATTATTTTGAAAGTGGGCAGAGTCAGTTTTCTATTTGTACGTTTTACGATTTAGTGTTTGATTTAAAAAGTGGGAGGTTTTGATAGAGATTTGTGAACCACAGAATGTAATATTCCTGATATGAGTTGGATATGATGACCTGTCACCAGAGGTGACCACCAATATTGGCAATTCTATGTCGAAGGGTTTATTTCGGTTTTAATTTGATCTGGTTAGTGCCATAGGTCATCAAGGAGTTAGTCTGCATGTGTTTCAAATACGACTCGTGTACTTCTTGAAACAGACATCGCTCACCCTAGTATAGTGGCCTACATTATGCGTTGTTTGATGAGAAAAACATTGTGCCAATCACACACTTACCAGAGACAGACCGTAAATATTGATTTTGGTTTCGGTAATGCATCTTGATAAGGTTGTCAAAGTGTGTAAGTTCTGTTGTTTTTGTCAAACAAGATCAGCAAGAGCATCATCGTGTAATTTCTAGTCAAAACAGACGATGTTGTTGACTGTATGGTAGACAAGACAATTAATTGATCTAAATAATCAGCTAGTACTCTCAGTCATACTTACTTCCTACTTGGATGATGTTAAACTGTACTTCATGACAATGTCCACTATAATATAATACTCGCAGCAGTTCCTGCAGGCATAGGGGGACACATGCTTGTGTGAAATCTTGCAGTTATAGTGCTATCTGACAGAAAATGACAAAGCAGAAAGAGGTCCATCATCTCTCTACAATAATTGTGTCGGTTCACTGGCTCAAGTTATTTGAGGGTGTAGTTGTACATTCATCATGTTCATGTAACAGCACCCCACTTATATCAAGTGACTAGATGCTTCTCAACATACAGTCTTACAAACTCTTGGTTTTCTAGTTTTCTAATATGTCAGTGTGTCATTGAGGAACTTATTTCCACTTGTCATATAAATAGCCTTATTATCATTATTACTTTACTGCAGCTGAACTGATGAAAACTCAGATTCAAAGATGTTATATAGAGATTATTACATGAACAAGTGTTTCATATAATTTATACGGAACGAGTGTGAAATTTTGTATTACCTGAGCGAGAGGGAGAGTAGTACATAATTTTGCACGAGTGTCGTATGAGTCACACTTGCTCAAATGTGATAATATCTTAATTATCTATTTTTATCATGTACATCTGTGCAGTAAAACACGGTTAGTAAGTGTGAAGGCCCTCTTTGTTGAGGTTGTGTTCAATTGTTTAATTACATCACAGAGGACGAAATACAGAAACAATGGTTGCTAGGCAAAAGTTATATGTGCACATGTTCACATATGGTATATATGACACTGGTTATGTTTCACCATATAGGTAATTAACTTTTTTGTCATCCAAACTAGCTTTCCCAGGAGATATTGCCTGCGTGAATTGAAATTGCAGCACTGTGCTTTGCAGATTATTGTGATGTCGTTGGATTTCATGATGTCACAATCAAATGACATCATTGAAATCTCTGCCATAGACACTGGTTAGCTGTTTTTTCACATTCAAGGCACTGTTTACAAATTTAGAAAGTTGGAAGACTTATCTTGGGTGATAAGTAAACTTTCTCCCAAGTTTCCTTTGATACATTAAACTGCAGTTGATTACTTTTGAAACTCTGAGGGATAGATAGGTTCTTTTATCTTCCCTAATGGCGTCAATGTCATTGTTACAGTCAAATGAAATCATTGGCTACCTACAGGATCATCATTAGAATAGATTTTGTTAGGGATGTTATCACACATCCTAATATTGATGTACTGATATTTCAAGTCACTGGTGACTGGTGACAAATTTATGCAGCCTCCTGAACACAATTCCTATAGACAATCCATGAATAAAGACCTAATTTTGTCTATTGTTTGAGTAAACTTTCTTTGATTACAAACGTTTATGTACATTATTATTGATCACACAAATTTCTTATTGATAATCGGGTGGTGGGGTAGCCTAATGGTTAAAGCGTTGGCTCGTCACGCCGAAGACCCGTGTTCGAATCCCCACATGGGTACAACGTGTGAAGCCCATTTCTGGTGTCCCCCGCCGTGATGTTGCTGGAATATTGCTAATCAATCTCAGTCAGTCAGTCAGTCTTATTGATAATCATTTTTAAGTTTTCTCATCAACAATATTTCTGATAATCAATCTTTTTAGTCCGCCTTATAAGTCATTAAAATTGCCAGTCAGTGACATACATCGTTGTGAACATGTGATGACCCAATTACGAATTGATTTGAATTTACCTATTGGGATGATTGTGGTTCAAATATTCCTTTTTAGACAAAAGGTACTTATTGAACAGCTTCATATTACTTGAATGAGTGAGTTTAGTTTTACGCCACACTCAGCAATATTCCAGCTACATGGCGGCGGTCTGTAAATAATCGAGTCTGGGCCAGACAATCCAGTGATCAACAGCATGAGCATCGATCTGCGCAATTGGGAACCGATGACATGTGTCAACCAAGTCAGCGAGCCTGACCACCCGATCCCGTTAGTCGCCTCTTGCGACTAGCATAGTCGCCTTTTGTGGCAAGCAGGGGTGCTGAAGACCTATTCTACCCCGGATCTTCACGGGTTTGCATATTACTTGAGGTTCATATCAAACAACTGCATATTAATTGAACTTCAGTGGGATGAAGACAAAATATTAATAGACATGATTAAAATATTTGATATTCCTTTTCTCCATGCATCAGGAAACATCTTTTATTGTAGTTTAGCCCAGTTTAGAGGTTATTTTAGTGAACAGATAGACTAACAAACAGCCTTCATCCGGTTAATGTGAGAACAATATTTGTATCATTAAACATCCATGTGTCCCTTGCATTCACTTTGTCAATGTTTTCATTGTAGTTGAAATCAGTGATCATACTGTCATCCCAGTAAGCATGTTATTGAGGACACTCTTCAGACATAATTTTAATTCTGAACAGACCTCCTTCAGAAAAAAAGTCCTCAGCTTCCTATTGCTTGTTGTAAGAGGCTTTTAAATTGGATCAAGTGTCAGGCACTGTGACCTGTCTGATGGTATCAGCTCCTCACCGTGTCAGATGTTAAGTTTTAGAGGCCTTGCACTTTCGCTGTTGCAGTAACGTTGTAGATATTTAAAAATTCTTATCAGAAGCCAGTCTCAGCTGATTTGCTTAAGGCATTATGAAGTGCTGAGACCTTGAAATGGGAAGTGTCATGACATAAATAGTTTTAACGCTAGGATGTTCCAGGTTAGATTTGTCCTCAGCATTTCACTTGCAGGATTGAGTGGTCACACTGTGACTTGCTTGTCATGCTATACCAATTGTGTAGATAGCTAGTCATGATCATGGTCATTGGATTGTCTGATCCAGGTTCTGTTATTTACAGAGTGCCTTGATATCGCAGAAATATTTCTTTGGTTTGATGTTCAACACCAAACAAATATCGGGGTCAGGTTCTTTATGGGGTATGAATAAAATCAGTTGTTTTGAAAGTTGAGTTCCTTAAGATGGATAATTTTAAACCTTCTTTCAATTATGTGTTTTTGCCAACACTTAATCAAATATAGTCATTGACAAATTTAGTGAGTGTGAATAATTCTGATAAGCAAAGCTGTCTGTTCAGTTTGTATTACCTTTTCATGTGTATGATAACAATTAGTAACCTGAATACGAGAAAATTGATTGGATATGATGAATCACCTTGATTTTTCACTATCTTTTATCTTATCATGATCATGAAGATAGTGGGATCTAGTTCCAGCATGTGCATTAGCATTTGTGACTGTATAAGTCATCAATAAAAATCTTTCTCAGAGCAATGAATAATAGGGCTGTGCAATATTACCGGTATATACCGGTACAGTATCTCGCGATAAGATTATCACGATATGGTTCAGATTCTG